GTTTCTGTAAACGGCTTCCCACATAACTAGGGTTGCAGAAACACACCACCTCACCCAGCTTATTACTTGAGATGGAGTCCTGCTAACTTTTGGCCTTGGCTGGCTTTTAACCATATCCTCCTGATCTCACCTTCAATAGAATTCCATGAATTTTAATCTGCATATAACTTAATTCATGTGATTTTTGACAGACAGTAAAATGAGCTCAGTTCAAAACTCAGGGCCCAATACTTGCTAGTCAGGTGCTCTGCTGCTGAGCCATGCCTTCAATCCCTTTTTGTGCTGGTTATTTGTGATATAAGCTTCTGCTTTTGCCTGGGCACATCCATGGACTGGGATCATCAATCTAGGATGACAGGCACTCATCGCTATAATTAACTATTGATTGAAAAGGACTCTCCTGAACCTTTCTGCCAGTGCTGGCCTCGAACCACTATGCTCCGATTCTCAGACTTCTGTGTAGTTTATGGTGACAGGACTGTTCTACCACCCAGTTTGGCTTTGTTCTTGACAGGATTTTCATCTTTTCCTCTACTCCTCCCAATCAAATTGGTTGAAAGTCCACTGCAATGGAAGTTTCAAGGACTCAGGGACTTTTTTTTTTTTTTTTTTTGCTGGTCGTGGGGCTTGAACTCCAGGCCTGGGTGCTGTCCCTCAGCTCTTCAGCTCAAGGCTCTACCACTTGAGCCACAGAGCTATTTCTGGTTTTCTGAATGGTTTTTTGGAGATAAGAGTCTCATGGACTTTCCTGCCTGGGCTGGCTTTGAACTGCGATCCTCAGATCTCAGCCTCTTGAGTAGGACTACAGGCATGAGCCACCAGCACGTGGGTTTAGGGACTTTTTATTTGTTAACTGTAATCTCCTCATCACTGAAGATAGTACTTAGCACATAGTATGAGCTTGATAAACATTTATTAATAATGAATCACTATGTCCTGTCAATTCTTTTCTTCTTAACCCTAATGCTACAGCTGTAATTCAGCCCTGTGTCTTCTATTTCTTCTCTGGTTTTTGTTTTGTTTTGTTTTGTTTTTGTTGGTCATGAGGCTTGAACTCTGGGCCTGGGCACTGTCCCTCAGCTCTTCAGCTCAAGGCGAGCACTCTACCACTTGAGCCACACTATCACTTCTGGTTTTCTAGTGGTTTATTCGAGAAGAGAGTCTCAGAGGCTTTCCTGCCTGGGCTGATTTTGAACCGCAATCCTCAGATCTCAGCCTCCTGAGTAGCTAGGATTACAGGCGTGAGCCACCGGCGCCCAGCTTTGTGTCTTCTCTTTTTAAGTTCATTGTACTTGTCTTCCTTGCCAGCCTTTCTCTACTTTTCACTATTTTCTCCACTGCTGAACATGGCATATTTCTAGAATTCTTTCTTTTCTAGAATACATGTCTGAGTGAGTTGTGTTCTTGCTGAAAGCCTTTTTTTCTGGCAGTATAGTATCATGTCCAAGTGTTTTTCTTGCCATGGCATTCAGGAATCTTTCTTATCTATGCCTCAAATGTCTTTCTAGTTTTGCCATGTGTTCACTGGACAATTCATAACTTCATATATTTGCAGTGGATCATCAGGTATTAATGTTTCTGTTCTTGGTTCTTTTGCCTGCATGCCCTTACCTGATTGCTCTTTCTTCTTTCCTTTCTTTCTTTTCTTTCTTTCTTTTCTTTCTTTCTTTCTTTCTTTCTTTCTTTCTTTCTTTCTTTCTTTCTTTCTTTCTTTCTTTCTTTCTCTCTCTCTCTCCTTCCTTCCTTCCCTCCCTCCTTCCTTCCTTCCTTCTTTCCTTCCTTCCTTCCTTCCTTCCTTTTTTTTTTTCTTTTGGATGGTCCTTGGCCTTGTACTCAGGGCTTGGGCTCTGTCCCTGAGTCTCTCTGTGCTTAAGGCTAGTGCTCTACCACTTGAGCCACAGTGACACTTCTTTTTCTGCTTAGGTGGTACTCAGGAATCAAACCCAGGGCTTCATGCATGCTAGGCAAGCACTTTACCACTAATCCACATTCCCAGCCTGATTTTCTTTCCTTTTTTCTTTTTTTTCCTTTTCTTTTCTTTTTTTATTCCCCCCATCGGTCATGGGGCTTGAAGTCTGGGCCTGGGCACTGTCCCTCAACTCATCAGCTCAAGGCTAGTGCTCTGCCACTTCTGGTTTTCTGGTGGTTTATTGGAGATAAGAGTCTCACGGACTTTCCTGCCCCGGCTGGCTTTGAACTGTGATCCTCAGAACTCAGCCTCCTGAGTGGCTAGGATTACAGGCGTGGGCCACTAGCGCTCAGCCCCTGATTTTCTTTTATTGAAACTATTTTATAATCAATTCTCTAGAATCCTAGTTATTTAGTATATAACAGTATATGGTGGAATACATTGATTTTTTTTTTTTTTCTGTGTGTACCTATACTGGGACTTAAATTCAGTCAGGGCTTAGGTACTGTCCCTTAGTTGCTTCTACTCAAGTCCAGTACTCTACCACTTGAGCCACAGCCCTGCTTCTGACTTTTTCATGATTAAATTGGAGACAAGAGTCTCATGGACTTTCCTGCCTAGGCTGGCTTCAAACTAGGATTCTCAGATTTCAGCCTCCAGAGTAGCTAGAATTACAGGCATGAGCCACCAGCACCCGGCTACATCAATGAAATACAAAATTTAAATAGAAATATAACTTTTCTACTTTGCACATTTCTTCTTCATCTGTCCTGGTATCTGTGAAAGCTTCTCTAACCCAGCCACTCCTTGGCTCCTCATGTTTGTCCATGTGCTTTGCTCCAGTTCTTTGGCTACAAATGACTATTTTATATTTTCATTAACTGCATCCCTGTCTTTTTCTCCCACCAATGATGGTTTATTTCTCAAATGCTGTTATCTATTTTCTTTTTTCCTTTCTTCCTTCTTTTTCCTTCCTTTCTTTTTCTCTTTTTCCTTCCTTCCTTCCTTTTTTCTTTCTTCCTTTCTTTTCTTTCTTCCTTTCCTTCTTTCTTTCTTTCCTTCCTTCTTTCTTTCCTTCTTCCCTTCCTTCCTTCCTTCTTCCTTCCTTCTTTCTTTCTTCCTTCCTTCCTTCTTTCCTTTCTTTTGTCTGAGACTAGGACTCAAACTTAGTATCTGATGCTTGCTTTTGCTTATTGGCTAAAGCACCAGAGTCATGCCTCCAATCTGTATTACATGTTCTTTCTTGCATATGTGAAGGTATTGGATCTTGCACTTTTACTCAGCTTTTTATTTTATTTTATTTTTTGGGGGGGTCCGGTCGTGGGGCCTGAACTCTGGGCCTGGGCGCTGTCCCTCAGCTCTTCAGCTCAAGGCTAGCACTCTACCACTTGAGCCACAGCGCCACTTCTGGCTTTTATCCTTTTTGCTTATGTGGTGCGGGGGAATCGAACCCAGGACCTCATGCATGCAAGGCAAGCGCTCTACCACTGAGCCACCTTCCCAGCCCTCAGATTTTTATTTTGAAGCCACATTTTCAACCTGGCTTTTTGCTGGTGAATTGGAGATAGAGTCAAGTAGACTTTTCTGCCTAAGCTGCCTTTAAATCTCAGTCCTCAGATCTCAGCCTTGCACAATTTCTGTTACATTTGTACTCAAAAGGACATAATGGTTAGCATACAGTAAGAGACCTTTTCCAAAAAATTCTACACTGTAAGTATAGACTACAGTTCACCTCTTCTGATGAATTGTATGCAGGCTATAGCAGTGTTGCAATATTCCCTCTGAAACTGTGATAGCCACTTTGACATCTTCATTTAATGTGAATAACGCTGATTATTCATTTGCTGTCCCATTATTGCAGCCAAACTCTCATTGATCAACCAATACTCAGTCTTGCCTTTTGCTCTGGGTTTTATCTTTACTCCTTTGTGTTTTTCTTTTGTACTATGAATTAAACGTAGATCTTCTGGATGCTAAGCACTCTACTGCCTAGCTCTGCTCACAGCTTCTCTAATCATGTATGTTAGCTACTCAGAAGGCTGAGATTGAGAAATACAGTTCAAAGCCAGCCTGGGCAAAGAAAGTCTGTGAGCCTCATCTCAAAATAACTAGCAAAAAATCCAGAAATAGAACTGTGATTCAAATGATAGAATGCTAGCCTTGAGTGAAAAAGCCATGGGACAGCATTCAGGCCTTAATTCCAAACCCTAATACTTGCCCAGACACGCACACAAAATCTAAAACATGACCAACCATTTTAATCTCTTAACTATTTGGAATTTATAGAATAATATATTGAATAATTATGGAATAAATAGTTTTTTTAAGGTGCATTTGATATGGTCACCAAGCTATATTAGGCCATACATTTTCTGGGATCTGTGTGTGTGTGTGTGTGTGTGTGTGTGTGTGTGTGTGGTGTGTGTGTGGTGTGTGTGTGTGGTGTGTGTGTGTGTGTGTGTGTGTGTGAGAGAGAGAGAGATAGCTCTGGGGCTTGAACTCAGACTCTGGGCACTGTCCCTGAGCTTTTTTGGGTTAAAGCTAGCACTCTACCACTTGAACCACAGCGTCACTTCTGACGTTTTTTGGTGGTGGTGGTGGTGGTGATGGTTGTGGGCCTGAACTCTGGGCCGGGGTGCTGTTCCTCAGCTCTCTTCTGCTCAAGGCTAGTGTTCTACCACTTGAGCCACAGCACTACTTCCGGCTTTTTCTGCTTATGTGGTGCTGAGGAATTGATCCCAGGGCCTCATGCATGCAAGGCAAACACTCTACCACTGAACCACCTTCCCAGCCCCACTTCTGGCTTTTTGATGGTTAATTGAAGATGAGAGTCTCATGGGCTATTCTTCCCAAGCTGGATTTGAACCATCATCCTCAAACCACAGCTAGGATTACAGGCAGCCTAGGATCTTTTAATATCTTGTACCTTATATTTTCTACAACTTGAATCTTGAGAAAAGAATTGAAGATTATCATAACAAATAACTTAAGAATTTGAGAGGATATTAACATCGTATTTCTACTTGTAGAAATATATAACACATTAAAGACAAAGTCTTTAAATTATTTTACAATATTAAATTTTTTGCAGGTACGAAAACATCCAACACTTCAGCAGCTCAAACGCACACAGAGCAAACATGAATGATATTTCCCAAAAGGCTGAGGTAAGTGTCAAAGGTTAAGAGATGAAGAGGGAGGAGTAGAGGGAGAGAAGAAAGAGAAGTTTAAAGTTAACAGTCATTTGGCAGAAGCTTCATAATTTAAGGATTTGGTTATAACATAGCATTGAAGGATAAAATAAGGCGAGGTATAAATAATGGCTGGTCTTGGTCAGTATTTCATTTGGATCATTACTGGAGAACATTACTAAGTTTGTGAATAATGGATGTGATATGATGGTAGCATCTTGAGAATTTTAAATATGTTTATAAATTTTAGAAATTAGTGCTGGAAAGATTGCTCAGTGGTAAAGTGCTTGCCTTGCATGCATGAGGCCCTGGATTTGATTCCTCAGCACCACATAAGCAGAAAAAAGCTGGAAGTGGCACTGTGGCTCAAGTGGTAGAGAGCTATCCTTAAGCTAAAGAACCAAGGGAAAGCACTTAGGTCTCAAGACCTACCAAAAAAAAAAAATTAGTCTTCTACATTTTTTTCAAAAAGTTTTACCTGTACAGTGAATTAATGCAATCATTCACACAGGCAAGGATTCTTCTTAGCTCCTTCTTCCAGAAGATGCAGAAAGATGCTTTTATTTTTCTGGTTCTTAGCAGTGGGTACTGAGAATTCTAAGAGCTCAGTTGCTGATACTCTAGAATCACAAACTTTATTTTTAAACTAAACAATTGCTTACCCATTGTGTGCCAGTGGCTTACCATAATCCTGGCTACTCAGGAGGCTGAGATCTGAAGATTGTTGTTTGAAGCCAGCCTGGGCAGGGAAGTCTGTGAGGCTCTCATCTCCAATTCACCCGCACAAATGCTGGAAGTAGAGCTGTGGCTCAAGTGGTAAAGTGCTAACCTTGAGCAAAAGAAGAGTGTCCATGTCCTGACTTCAAGCCCCAGGACCAGCACATATGCACATACACAGACACACAGACACAGACACAGACACCAACATAGACACACACATACCCCTTAGTCAATGACACAGATTTAAAAATTCAACCTGGTGTGCCACAGATTGACTACAATATTTGTCATTATCATTATGATTAAGAGTTTTGTGTTCTAAAACACTTTCTTTTAGTGTCCACCTGCGGACACTGACACACCGCAGCCACAAATGGGAATAAAGCACTGGCCTTCAGTCTTGCTTGTATTAGATATAACAAAAACAGCAAAAATGCAATCTGTGATTTTGGTTATAAACTACAAAGTCTAAACACTTGAATTTTTTCTTCAGCTTCATCTGATTGACTGAGCTTAATCTGAATAACTTTTAAGCAGTGATGTAAAATCTGAATCTTTAATGATGAAACAGGACAATAAAACATAGGCTCTTTTTAGGTTTCAGGATTTGGTGCTCATCTTTTATTGATGTTCAGCTTCAGTGGCCTGCTAGACACAAAAGGAGATTTCTAAAGAAGAATTTCATATCAGTAACATTTCTGCTCATGGTTTCTAGAATTTCATTTTTCAATGTAGATTTTACAGAGTATCTAGCTGGTTTGTGATAGTCAAAAATTTCAAATTCATTTCTATTTTCTGTTTCAATCAGTATTTCTAGTATTGCTTATTCTTTCTTATCTTTGCCTAATTTCTACCTGTCTTTTTTCTTTTTTCACTTTCTTCTCTTTGTTTTCTTCTACTGAAGATTCTGCTTTCTTCATCTAAACCTGTCCCCAAATCGTATGTGCCCAAACTTGGCAAGGGTGATGTAAAGGATAAGTTTGAAGCCATGCAGAGAGCCAGGGAAGAAAGAAATCAAAGGCGATCTAGAGACGAAAAGCAAAGAAGAAAAGAACAGTATATTAGAGAGAGAGAATGGAACAGGAGAAAGCAGGAGGTTATTATATTTTATTTTATTCTTTTGTATATGTTTGTTTTCATCTTTGTCATTTAATTTGTTATTCACGGTAACATTTTATGTAAACTATACCTAAATACCTTTTTGTATTGTTAAGCTAATTTGAATGTTGCATAGACAAGAGTCTTCTCTTTTCAGTTTTACTGTCCACTGTTTCATTACCTGTAGGTTTAGAAGTATTAAGTTGAATTGTTTTGCCTCATTTTATAATTATTGTAGTTGGTCTTTTGTCTATGCCTAACTTCTAACTTAAACTTTATCATAGGGCCAGGTACCAGCGGCTCACGCTTATAATCCTAGCTACTCAGAAGGCTGAGATCTGAGAATTGTGGTTCAAAGCCAGCTCAGGCAGGAAAGTCCCTGAAACTCTTATCTCCAATTAGCCACCAGAAAACCAGAAGTAGAGCTGTGTCTTAAAGTGGCAGAGCACTAGCCTTGGGCCTAAAAGCTCAGCTACAGAACCTAGGCCCTGAGTTCAAGCCCCACAACTGACAAAAAAAAGCAACCACCCAAAAAAACGTTATCATAGCTAAGCAATCTATGAACTGTAATTCCTTCCTATAGTTTACATAGGAAAAGTACTAAACAGAGGGTCCTTTTGTGGTCTGTAGATTTTGAAATATAACTGAGTTCAATTTTGGGACATGTATTCACATCAAATTATTTAACTGTCTAGATTAAAGAATTGCTTGCTTCTGATGAGGAGGAGGAGGTTTCTTCTAAATCAGAAAAGGCTTATGTCCCAAAGCTAACAGGTAAGAAACAGGAGGGGCAAATTATAGATGAAATTGTAAAAGAAAAGAACATTGTAAAGTATCAAATTTTTTCTTAAATGTATTCTTAGGCACTGTTAAAGGTAAATTTGCTGAAATGGAGAAGCAAAGACAAGAGGAAGAAAGGAAGAGAACAGAGGAGGAACGAAAACGCAGAATCGAGCAGGATATGTTAGAAAAGAGGAAAATACAGCGTGAATTAGCAAAAAGGGCTGAGCAGGTAACCACTGAATATGAAGTCAGTAGTGCTTCTGAAACTAATTGTACAAACAAAAACTAATCAGTATGTTGTCTAATTAAAATATTCTAATTTAACACAGATATATCAATTATAGCTAACCTGAAAACAATCTCAACTCCTAAGAGAAAATATGAAGTATCAGATATCCAGAAGCATCAGGCAGAATGTACTTATTTTAGAACAAAATACTGAGGTGACTTTTGTTACATCATTCTTATTCTGTCCACATTTATTATTTTCTTAACCTATTTGAGGATTTTACAAAGATGTTACACAATAACTATGTGTAAGTGCTAAACAAAATGCTGGCATTTTAACTGTAATACTTTGTTGTTGTTGTTGTTGTTCGTGGGGCTTGAACTCTGGGCCTGGGCACTGTCCCTCAGCTCTTCAGCTCAAGGAGACCACTCTACCACTTGAGCTACAACATCACTTCTGGTTTTCTGGTGGTTAATTGGAGATAAGAGTCCCATGGATTTTCCTGCTTTGAACCATGACTCTCAGCTCTAAGCCTCCTGAGTAGCTAGGATTACAGATGTGAGCCACTGACGCCCGGCTAGGCTCTTAATTCTTTTTTTTTTTTTTTTTTTTTTGGTCTAGTTGTGGGGCCTGAACTCTGGGCCTGGGCGCTGTCCTCAGCTCTTCAGCTCAAGGCTAGCACTCTACCACTTGAGCCACAGCGCCACTCCCGGCTTTTTTCTTTTTGCTTATGGGGTGCTGAGGAATCAAACCTAGGGCCTCAGGCATGCAAGGCAAGTGCTCTACCACTGAGCTACCTTCCCAGCCCATAGGCTTTTAATTCTTAAGGACATCACTACACGTGGTTGTTTGAGCATTGGTGAATGCTCTTTATTATGTTCATTTAAAGGTACATATGTCCCAGCACACTTTAATATCTACAATATTAGGTGAAATAAATGCAATCAGTGTCAAACATATACTAGTCAGTTGAATAATGTTTATCCTGTACAATAAGGAGTATATTATGTGTTAGGTATGTGCTGATATTTTTATGCATTTTAAGTCTCATACCAAATAAAAGTGTGCCACAAATGATAGGCAAAATTTCACTATTAAACCCTAATTTTTTGAGCAAGAAATTATTAGACATTTTATATTTATTTTTATATATGTGATTTATACTAATGTAGATTGGCTGTACTACTTTCTAATACTGTTCTTTTAAAACAATACTTTAAGTGCCTTACGTCAATTTCTAGGCTCCCTTCAGTGTCTACTACCTTCTAAACAGAAAAGTAATCATGAAAACAATGTATAAGCCATACTTGCATGCCAAGGAAATTTGTTAGCTCTGGCTTTGCAAAATAGACACTTGTGTGAAGGAAGTGCTGATGCGTGCGTGTCTGGTATGCCTTAATGGTAGCTAGAGGGAGGAGCTCACATGCTCTGCTACTGCCCTTATAGTGTGTAAAGATGACCATTCAGGGGCTGGGAAGGTGGCTCAGTGGTAGAGCGCTTGCCTTGCATGCCTGAGGCTCTGGGTTCGATTCCTCAGCACCACATAAGCAAAAAGAAAAAAGCCAGAAGTGGCGCTGGGGCTCAAGTGGTAGAGTGCTAGCCTTGAGCTGAAGAGCTGAGGGACAGTGCTTAGGTCCAGAGTTCAGGCCCCATGACTGGACCCCCCCAAAAAAAAGATGACCATTCATTTTGCAGTGAAACTGTGAAACGCATAGAATTATATTGTGATATTTATTATACATTAGATATTATATAGCTATTACATCATATTAACATATATATTAGTGATATATTAAAAATGATCAAATAAGAGGGTAAAATAAAACAAAGTGTATATACAGTCTTCTACCCTATTTCCCAGCACTGATTATTTTCTAGACTTTTAAGAATGCAGTCTATAGGCAGTGATTTCTGAAAGAAAAAGCTGTGTGTGTTGAAGAAATGAGCTTGAACATGAAGTCATAGGCTTCTCAGAGATAGATGAAAATAAAACAGTATGAAAAGGAGCCGTTTTAATAACTCCAAACACTTTCTGCCTATAAAAGTGCCACCAAATCTTGGTTAATCAGCTTTTGCCCTATTAAGGAAATGTAAATAGAACCAAGTATTAATAGCAATTTAATTTTGTAAATATGTAAAATTGAATTTCTTTTTGTTGGTACTGGGCTTTGAACTCGGGGCCTCATGTTTGCTAGGCAGGTGCTTTTACATTATAGTCATATCCCAGACTTCTTTTTTTTTTTTTTGCTTTAGTCATTTATTTCAGGTAGGATCTTAAATGGTGATCCTCCAACCGATAGCCTCCAATGCAGCTAGAATCAGAGACATTTGACACACATCTGGTTTATTGATTCAGATAGCTTCTCACTCTTTGTCCAGGCTGGCCTCAACTGCTTCCTTCTCAACTCTACCTCCCAAATAGCTGGGATTACAGACATGAGCCACTGGACCTGGCTTGTAAAGTCTAAAGCCTAATTTTAAAATTGAGGTACATTTCTACTTAAATTTAATATGATCTAATGTATCTTGGAGTAGCAGGAGGGAAGGATGGCATAACTAGTCAAGAAGAGTCTTTTTTTTTCTTTTGGGTCCGGTCGTGGGGCCTGAACTCTGGGCCTGGGCGCTGTCCTTCAGCTCTTCAGCTCAAAGCTAGTGCTCTACCACTTGAGCCACAGCGCCACTTCCGGCTTTTTTCTTTTTGCTTATGTGGTGCTGAGGAATTGAACCCAGGGCCTCACGCATGCAAGGCAAGCGCTCTACCACTGAGCCACGTTCCCAGCCCCTCAAGAAGAGTCTTAATGTTTGCAAAGTCCACTTATACAAACTCATCTATAAGAATGATAGGTAAAGATTTCCTCAGTTGGAGTGAGGGTAGTGACCACCAAGATAATTACCAGTTCTAAAATTCTAAGTTGTGGGGCTGGGGGTTTAGCTCAGCAGAAGGGCGCCCGCCTGGCACGTGCCAGGCCCTGGGTTTGGTCCTCAGCCCTGGAAAAAAAAAATAAAATTCTAAGCTGTTACCATGAATTACAAGTGGGTATATTTGGTGTATTAGATGTTAAAATTAAAGATCAACAAAATTTTGAGAAAAAAGATTGATATGCTATTATCTGGCTATGTTTAAGGATACTCTGACAAGCAAAATTAAAAACCATCCATCATCCATTTAAAAAGAGAAGCTATTGTAAGGAGGAGATTTTGAAGGGAAAAAAAAAGGAAGTTGGTTTTCTATAAAGGAAAAAAAATAGTTGGGAAGCAACTCCATAGTAGGAGATTCTGAAAGTCTATACTATACTTGAACATCTGATCACCTGTTTCTCTGTGAAGATATTGATCCAAAGGGTCTCAGGATCCTTTGCACAAATTATTCTTTTTTTGTTTTTTGGTTTTTTTGCTGGTCATGGGGCCTGAACTCTGGTCTGGGCACTGTCCCTCAGCTCTTCAGCTCTTCAGCCTTGGCTAGTGCTCTACCACTGGAGCCACAACGCCACTTCCGGGCTTTTTCTGTTTATGTGGTGCTGAGGAATCGAACCCAGGGCCTCATGCTTGCAAGGCATGCACTATACCACTGAGCCACCTTCCCAGCCCACAAATTATTCTTTCTCAGCATTTGTTGATAAACAAAATATAATTCTATCTTTTGTTATTTTGGTAATGGTTTTATTTATTGATTTTAATTTTTTGCCAGTACTGGGGTCTTGTGTTCTCATGCAGTTTTCTTGTTCACGGTGGCACTCTACCACTGGGCTGCTCCAGCTCAGCTTTGTTGCTGATTAATTAGAACTGGAGTCTCTCCGATTTTTCTGCCTAGGCTGACTTTGAATTGAGATACTTTGTGTTTCAGCCTCTCAGGTACTTAGAATTATAGGTGTGAGACAGTGGCCCGGCTATTTTGGCAATAATTTACAATGAGCAAGGCAAAAAATAGAAAACAAGAACAGAAAAACAAAATTCAAAATCCAAAGCACCTCCAAATATATTTTATCATTTAACCGGGAACTGCAAAAATCTGGAAAGGTTGTAATAACATGATAAAGAAAACTGGAATGAAGATTAGTGTTTTCCTATACTCCTGTTATCTTATTTCTCACCATATTTTCTGGAACTTCTTGTTGAGAAATTAATGTAAATTAAGAGGTTGCCAGTATTCTTTTGAAGATAAATTATTTTGTAATTGTTTTATTATAGATCTGTTAAAATTGCTCTTACCATGAGGCATAATTCAACAAAGCCTTTACAATTTACATAGCAAATCAGTGTAACAAGAACTTCTGTGATGAAGTATTCTGAATAATTTTCTAGTGTACAAATTATTCTGAATAAAATTATTTTAAAATAATTGGAATTACTAAAAATAAATGTTCCAATATCAAAGTAGACTTTTAATCATAAACTATTTTTTAGAATAATTTTAATTTTCAGGCAATTGGGTGTCTGAGTAAAAATGTATTATTTCCTTATTGTCAAATAGAGAAAAAAAGTTAGGTGAGACACTTATCCAGTTTCTAATATGAGCCAGAGTGTATCCAAGTTCTGTTTAGTTGCATGAGTAGTTTGTTAACTACTTGCAAACTTGCGCTGATTTAACAAATAAAATTAAAACAATAATCTGAATTTTTATTATTAATGTTTTTTATTGTGAAAATACCGTACAGAGGGGTTACAATTACATGAGCAAGGTAATGGTACAGTTCTTATCAAGCACTGTTGCCTCCTCCTTTGTTTCCCCTTACTATCCCTGCCCTCCCATCTCCCCCCCATCCCCCTCCTGATTTTTTTTTTCTAGTAGTGTTGGGCAAGGTCATTGCTTCATCACCCAGTTACACCACCAGTCCTATAGTTTTACTCCTTCCCCAACCCCCACTCAAGGTTTGAACTCAGAGCCTATGGGATCAATTGTCTTGAGAGCTAACACTGCTACATCTCCAGCTCAGTTTGACTCATTTTTTTTCCCTGATTATTTTGAGATCGAATCTCAAGGATTTTTTCTTTCTTTGCTTAGCTAGCTCCAAATCATGATTCTTTGTATCTCATCCTCCTCATTAGCAAGAATTACAGCTCTGAATTTTTACTTTCTAATGGCTGTTACTTTCCTCAGATATGTTTCCTTCATTATTCAAATCACCACCATTTTCAGTTTGCTAAGTATTCTTTATGCAAATCTAATAACAATAATGGCCAAATTGAGCTCTGGCTATTTTTGTTTTGTTTTGGTATTACCCCAGTAACTTTCAGACTTGCCCTTGTTAAGGGCAAGCGTTCTGAGCCTGGCCTCCAGCCCTTTTTTCTTTTTTAGGTTAATTTTTAGATAAGGTTTCGTTTTTATGCAGGGGCATGCCTGGAACTGTAATCCTCTTACCTATGCTTTCTGCATAGCTGGGAACACCAAATTCAGCTCATTGGTTGAGATGAGGTAATGCCAATTTTTTCCCGAGTTGTCCTTAATCATCAATCTTCCCAATCTCTGTCTCCTGAGTAGTTGGGATTATAGGACCTTTTCAACACAGAGTTGGTCAAAATATGAAGAAAACCAAGGTTTCCAAAATAAATTTTCCTTCTAAATTAGCCTATGTGTTTTACCAGATTTATGTTCTTTTTATCATATACTCATGTTGTAAACTGAAATCATGAAAATTATTTGACTGGTAATGATGTTTTCCTTGGGTGGGACACAGAATAGAGAAATATTTCTATGTATTTTAATTCAAGTGGCTAATTAAAATAATTGCTTATTGTAAACGAATAGCCAAGTCAAAAGTATTTGATCCATTATTCAATATGCAAATTTACAAAGGAAATTTTTTTCTGAAAATGCTGTCCACTGGATATTGATGTTGGTATCAAAATGCAAAAACCAGTAAGGCTAAATCTCCATTTGTGAGGACATTTAGCTAACTTGGAAAAATAGAAAATATTTCAAAACATATATTTGAAAACTTACTAGAAGTCACACTCAGTTTCTTTCAGTTGTATGTTTAAAAGGAACAAGCAGAAATACAATGTAACGTAATGACATGAAATTCTCATTCAATAGATTGAGGACATAAACAATACGGAAACTGAATCAGCACCAGAGGTAAACTGATATTTCCTTTAATGAAATATTCACCTAAAATGATCTGATTCACAAATCATCTTCTATTCTGAGAAAAATTAAAAGGGATTTTATTTTACTGTCTTATTATAAAGATAGCAAGAACTCTTTTGCAAAAGCAAAATCATACTTCTGCACTTTCAAACACTATGACCTAGTGTTTTAAGGAAAAGTATGTTTTTGCTTCCATACAAGTATCATTAGTTCTCAGTTTGAGATACTCTTCCAAGACCACCTCTTATTTCTTGAACTAATAATTGAGACCATTGAAAACTAACATTTGTAAGTGGCAGCTTCTGTTTTGTCATCTGTCTTCTTTCTTCAGAGTTCCTGAGAGTTTGTGTTTTCATACACCAGTGTTGAATGCAGTGTGTATTAACATGAGGAAATGCTACTCAACCCATCTTATCTAACCAATTTAAAAATCAAACAATTTGATGGTGTGCTTAAAACTTATATAGCCACATAAACTGGAATTTTTGAAGGGGAGGAATGGGTTATGCTTTATAATTCTTTTTATTTTGAAAAAAAAGTTAAGAGGCAACAAAAGATTATATTGTATAACTCATGAAATTAATTAAAATACATCTTAAATATTTTATCTGTACTATAAATGTTGAATTAATTGCTTGGATATTATTTGGTTTTTCTTATTAAATGCTAGTTGTATTGTTTATAAACTTCTGTGGGGGAAAAAAGATCATAAGAAGAAACATTGATTTTATGTTTAAGAATCCACCATCAGATTGATTTGGAGTACACTCACATATACATTACCTATTGTGCATAGAGAGCTAAATTCACACAATGGTTGCCACAGTTTTTTTTTTATCTGAGCAGGGATATAAGGATTTCATCATCCCAGAAACAGAATGCTTCTTGAACTTTGTCAACATTTGGACTTCAGTGAAATTAACTACTTTTATTGAATTTATTAAATTAACAGCAAACTTTAGAGATATGTAATTAGTAATAATGTTTTGTTTTTCATAAAATCATTGACAGCAATGTAATGAAACTCACCAATTATGGAGGTAAAGTTCTTTAAGACCTAAAATTTTTATTAAGAAGATATATACTGGGTTTTTTTTCCCTTCTTTTTCTTTTGTTGTTGTTGTTGGTAGTGGTGGTGGTGGTGGTGGTGGTGGTGTCTGTGTGTGTGCTAGACCTGATGCTCGAGCTCTGGACCTGGGTACTGTCTGAGATTTTTGGCTCAAAGCTTATGCTATTTATTACTTTAGTTAAGCCCCTATTTCTGTCTTTTTGGTGGTTAATTAGAGATAAGTGTTTCATGGACTTTCCTACCCAGTGTGGCTTTGAACTGTGATTCTCACATCTTGCCTCCTGAATAGTTAGGATGACAAGTGAGAACCATCAGAGCACAGCCAAGAAGATGTAGACTAATTATCTGTCTTATAAATAGGAAGGAGATGATTCACTGCTTATAACAGTAGTGCCTGTCAAATCATATAAGACATCTGGAAAAATAAAGAAGAATTTTGAGGATGTAGAGAAAGAACAAGGAGTAAAATGTGAACAGCAACAGCGAACTCTCAAGGAGGCAAAGTGTCTTTCATTGGTCATGGTAATTGTTTTTTGGTTTTAAAGAATCAACCTATGGGCTGGGAAGGTGGCTCAGTGGTAGAGTGCTTGCCTTGCATGCATGAGGCCCTGGGTTCGATTCCTCAGCACCACATAAGCAGAAAAGGTTGGAAGTGGCGCTGTGGCTCAAGTGGTAGAGCGCTAGCCTTGAGCTGAAGAGCTGAGGGACAGCGCCCAGACCCAGGGTTAAGGCCCCACGACCAGCAAAAAAAAAAAAAAAAAAGAATCAACCTAACTAATTTAGTAGCATGTTAAGCGATTTCCTTTAAAACAAAGAGGTTTGCTTTCATCATTTTTGCTTAGGATGATGAACTGGAAAATGAAGCCAAAAAGGAAACACATTTTCCTGGAAAACTGAAACTAACTTTTGAAGAATTGGAGCGACAAAGACAAGAAAACCGAAAGAAGCAAGCTGAAGAGGAAGCAAGACAACGTTTAGAAGCCGAGAGGCGTGCTTTTGAAGAAGCAAGGAGGCAAATGGTATATATGTCTAGCTTTAAACATTGTATTTTATAGTAAGAATGATAGCTAGTTGTGGATATGGTTTATTAAAATAAAGGCCAGGAGCCTGTGGATAATGCCTGTAATCCTAGCTACTTAGGAGGCTGAGATTTGAGGATTGCAATTTGAAGCCAGCCCAGGCAGAAAAGTCTGTGAGACTCTTTTATGTCCTACTCAAAAACTTGTAGTGGAGCTGTGGCTCTAAGTGGTAGTGTTAGCTTTGAGCAAAAGTTCCTCAGAGACAGTGTCAGTCCCTGAGTTTAAGCCCTATGACCCATGCCCCCCCCCAAATTTTTTTTTGAAATTTCCTATGTAGAACGTTTGTATAGAATAAGGTTTACATTTTTGTCATTAATATGGATAGATGCAAAAATAGTTACGCAACAAACCTATTTTTCTCTTCATCTATTAGTTCAACAATGACAACAATGCACTTAATGGCATCATTGAAAGGCTTTTTTTTTGCCAGTCCTGGGGCTTGAACTCAGGGCCTAGAAACTATCCCTGAACTTCTTTTGCTGAAGGCCAGCACTCTGCCACTTGAGCCACAGTGCCACTTCTGGCTTTTTCTGCTTATGTGATACTGAGGAATCGAACCCAGGGCTTCATGCATACTAAGCAAGCACTCTACCACTAAGCCACATTCCCAGCCCCTTAAAGGGCATTTTAGTCTTTTTGGTATACATTGACATCAGTGCAGTTTTTCAAGTATTTGAGCATATTATTATTAGTGTATGTATGCTGATACTAGGATTTGAACTCACAGCCTGGGCACCCTCCTTTAGCTTTTTTGCCAACTCCATTTTTGGCTTTTTCCAGTGGTTAATTGAAGGAAAGAGTGCCTTAGACTTCCCTGCATGAGCTTCAAACCTCCATCTCTGCCTCCTGAGTAACTAAGGATTACAGGTGTGAGCCATTGGCACTGAGCAATTTGAAAATATTAAAGCAGTTAAAATATCATTTGGTGTATATATGTGTGGGTGCATACTCTATGAGTGTTAACTATTATTATAGTATTTAAAATTATCAATAAAGCTAGGTGCTGATGGCTCACACCTATAATCCTAGCTACTTAGGAGACTCAGATCTGAGGACTGTGGTTTAAAGCCAGCCTGAGCAGTCCATGAGACTCTTATCTCCAATTAACCACCAAAAAGCTGGAAGTGGAACTGTGGCTTAAGTGGTAGCTAATCTTGAGAGCAAAAAAGCCCAAGGGCAGTGTCCAACCCCTGAAGTCAAGCCCCAAGGGCTGGCACATTAAAAATATTTTTTAAAATGAAAACCACGAGTTGGTGGTTTGCACTTGTAATCCTAACCACTCAGGAGGGCTGAGATATGGAGAATCAAGGATCAAAGCAAGCCTGGCAGAAAATCTGCAAGACTACATTTCCAAAATAATGAGCAAAATGCAAAGTTGGAGATATAAGTCAAGTGATAAAGGAGTGCCAGCCAACTGAGCAAACAAAAGGCCTTGAATTTAAAATGAATTTAGAAAATGGGACATGTCTTTTATAAATCATCACAATTTTATTGGTTAGATCTCATTAATGATATTATAAAGATTATATATCACAAAATTTTAATTTCTAAACATCTATTTAAAATATTACTTTTGGTAAATAAATGAATACTATGTATTTTATATATTATGTGTGGTCAGCTTAATATTGTTAAATAATACATTTCAATTAATATTTGAATTAACAATGAATCATGAAGCTTGAATTTTATATAAAATAGTTGTAGACGATCTTTTATTTAGTTAAGAGAAAGTACCACAGCTTATAGCTTAAAAAAATCCATGAAAGGACTCTAAATATACTTAATATACTTAAGCCTAATTTAAGTACACACAGTTTGTACTGGAAGACTTATTGTTCAGTATGGCAAATACATTTTAAAAATATGCTACCTTATTTATTTGAAAACTGTACTGAGAAGTTTTATTTGAGTACATCTTTATTTGGAACTTACCCCAATTGAGGTATTTATAACATGAGCCATCTAAAAGGAAGAGGATTTGGATTTTATGAAATGGCTAGCTAGTCTGTGCCTATTTTAATGAATCCCAAGTTTTACTACTCAATTGTTTTTTTGACCAATAAGGTAAATGAAGAGGAGGAAAACCAAGACACAGGAAATATTTTTAAAGAGTACCGCCCTGGCAAACTCAAACTTAGTTTTGAGGAACTAGAAAGGCAAAGGAGAGAAGATGAAAAAAGAAAAGCAGAAGAAGAAGCCAGGAGGAGGATAGAGGAAGAAAAGAAGGCATTTGCTGAAGCACGGAGAAGCATGGTAAGACTCAGCTTCCTAAGTAGCAAGGATTACAGGTGTGAGCCACCCCAGCCCAGCTGCAAATAGGTTTTAAAGTATCCAATGAGTAACACCAGTCAGTTGAAACTATGTTTCATGTAGAGGAGATTCTGAGTAAATTGGCATGTCTGGCATACAACCTTGAGTATTGTCTTCTGTGGGAAGGCAGGCAATTTTTTCCCCACTTTTCCCCCCTCCTTTCTCTTCTCTCCTTTCTAAGATGCTTCTCCTTCAGTCTGTTATTCTTTAAATTTAAATCCTATCCAGTGTGTATTAAATGAGTCATTTAATCACAATTATCCTACTCTAAAGTGACCTGAAACCTTTCTATTCATGTATTCTCAGTTATTACACAAAAGATTCCCTTTTTAATTCGTATAATCCTGGCCAAAAACAATGATAGGACTGTTATCACTTAATAGGTAGTAGATGATGACTTCCCAGAGTTGTATCAAACCATTTCTCAAGAATCACTTACACCGGGGAAACTGGAAATTAATTTTGAAGAATTATTAAAACAAAAAATGGAAGAAGAAAAACGACGAACAGAGGAGGAACGGAAGCATAAACTAGAAATAGAGAAACAGGAATTTGAACAGCTGAGACAAGAAATGGGAGAGGTAAGGTTTGAAGACATACCTATTTATTAACCATAAATACTTAAGTATTTTACTTACATTTCTTTAGAGTAACTTCAAAAGTAGTACTACTCACATAAAAGCTACTCAACCTACTTTTGTGAGAAACAACTACTTAGTGCAGGCCACATATATGTGCACTTCATACCAAACTTTACTCCTTCCTTGTTAGTTTCAAAATTGTACATAAGTTTGCAAGTGACTGGCATATTAGTTTAATTCTCAAAGTATTTTCCTAGACACCTCAAATTTCTTTGGATTTATTAACAATTAACAAGAGTGATTGTAAACTCTTGTTCTGAGTACTGTACCTAATTTGCCCATTTATATTATTTTCCAGAACTGGGGGTTGGACTAGGATATTGAACAAAGTGAATGCTCTACCACTTGAACACCACCCCTACCCTTTTTGTTTGTTTTTGGGTCCGGTCGTGGGACCTCAACTCTGGGCCTGGGCGCTGTCCCTCAGCTCTTCAGCTCAAGGCTAGCGCTCTACCACTTGAGCCACAGAGCCACTTCAGGCTTTTTTCTTTTTGCTTATGTGGTGCTGGGGAATCGAACCCAGGGCCTCATGCGTGCAAGGCAAGCACTCTACCACTGACCCACCTTCCCAGCCCCGTCTTTTGGTTTTTATTGAGACAGGCATTCATTACTTATGCTAAGCTGGCCTCAAACTCTGGATCCTCCTCTGCCTCCCAAGTAGCTCTGATTCAGGCCTGAACTACCACATCCACACTGATAATCAAAATGTAACTGCAGGAATACCATGGATGAGAATATATTGTAAGGTTGGAAAGGTGCTTAATTGGTTCTTTGGGGCTTTATTTTGGCACTGGGCCTCATGCATACTAAGCACATACTAACCTATTGAGCCATACCTGCTAGCCTCATGAGCAAAATTTGAATTTTATTTTACTGATTCTAAGATGGAATTTTGATATTAAAGTATCTTAGTTAAAACAAATATACATGCTCTGACTACATAAAGCAAGCAATTTGGTCACTCACTGGACCCTGTGATCAAAAGGATCCTGCAAGATACATTCTGATGCTCTTAGGTGAACATCTTCATCCTACCTGTTATGTCCTCAGTAGAAGCTAGATGTATGATGGAAGGCTAGGGCAACGGATCCTTAGCTGAGCCACATCTTCTCCAGAATGGAATGAGATCTCAGCATTCTTTCCTAAGATTCTACTAAAGGTCCCATGTAGCATCTTTCTTGTCTGTGTGGCCCAATTTCATGGGTAGCAACGAAGGGGAAACACTTGATTACTGATTGGCATCTTGGCTAGTTCCAGACTGTACACAGGAATAGGGTCAGGGTCCTGCACCTAGCTTCATAACATGGGGAAATAACTGTTCCAGCCTTAAACTGGCAGTACCATGGCATGTTTGGCAGATGACTTTCTGGGCCGACTATGCATGAATCTTTTTTTTTTTTGTTGGTCGTGGGGCTTGAACTCTGGGCCTGGGCACTGTCCCTCAGCTCTTCAGCTCAAGGTGAGTGCTCTACAATTTGAACTACAGCGCCACTTCCGGTTTTCTGGTGGTTTATTGGAGATAGGAGTCTCATGGTCTCTCCTGCCCAGGCTGGCTTTGAACCGCGATCCTCAGATCTCAGCCTCCTGAGTAGCTAGGATTACAGGCGTGAGCCACCAGCGTCCAGCCTATGTATGAATCTTGACCCATGAACCTAATCTTTACATAGGGGTTGTAGTCTCTTGGAAGCTGTCGTATGTTGGGGCAGTAGGCTGTTTTACTTCTTTGTCCTGGTTGTGGCTAAGCAAATTGCCTAGCTGGTTATGAGAATACAAATATATGAATGAATACATAGGATGAATATACTAGAGGAAATGATTACAAGGTTTAGCCTCTTCTTCCAGGCCCCACCCACTTATAAAGTTCAATGTTCATATTATTGAGCTGTATAGTGAATATATAATAGTGTTTAACTGTTAAGACATTTCATGCTAGGAAATACCCTACGATGTCTGGAGGTTTCCAAGCAATGCAGCACCCTGCCTGAGATATGTATTACTTTATATTACAGGATTAGGGTTTATTATAGCATATAAAAGCCTACTACGCCTTGGAAGAACAGCTTAAGCCCTGGCTGCCTGGTAGGTGCTGCGGAAAGAGGTGATGTAAAGTCTGGGGAAACAAATCTGAATGAGAAATAGTTATAAAGAATTGGAGCCAGGTGCTGGTGTCTCATGCCTGTAATCCTAGCTACCCAGGAGGCTGAGATCTGAGGATCATGGCTCAAAGCCAATCCAAGCAGTAAAGTCTGTGAGACTCTTAATCTCCAATAAACCACCCCAAACCCAGAAGTGATGCTATGGCTCAAGTGGTAGAGTGCTAGCCTTGAGTTGTGGGACAGTACTCAGGCCCAGAGTTCAAGCCCCACGACCGACCCATCCCCCACCCCCTTTACTGCAAAAAAAAAAAGTTCAATTTTGACTGGCTCCCTTTCATCACTGATGAAATATATATTTACTAGAGCAATGAATGGTATCTAACCTTATAACCACTATAAAATCAAAGTTAGGATAAATTTTGGAGATAATTGGGCTCTATTTAAAGATGAAGAAAATCACATCTAAACAACTAGGCAAACTACACAGCACCAATGCCCAAGTTTTTTGTTGTTGCCCAATTTGCTTTACTTTTCCGTATCAACAATTTCCTGCAGAATACCCTAGTAAAAATTAATCTTGCCATGTCAAATTTAGTTTTAGTAAGTCTTATGGAATAGGAAAGTTTAGCCATACTTACTTGAGAAAGTATCAGTATTAAATGAAGGTCCGATATTTCCACTGTTTTATCATTTGAAAGCAGCCATCTCTTTACACTATCTGCTCATTACATTAGTCACTTAGTACTTATTCTGTTATTGAAGTGTCACGAGAGTGGTGATTGTCAAGCAATGCAATTTTTATTTACTATTGGGCCCAATGAACCATAGTAGTGATGCTGACCATTTGGATATGCCAAAGAAACTGTAATGAGCTTTAAGTAAAAAAATAATAATAATGGGGGGGGGGGCGGGGAAAGCACAGGCCCTGGGCACTGTCTCTGAGATTTTATTTTTTTTGGTTGGTCGTGGAGCTTGAACTCTGGGCTTGGGCGCTGTCCCTGTGCTCTTCAGCTCAAGATTTTTTTTTTTTTTTTTTAAACTCAACTATGGTATTCTACCACTTCCAATTTTTTGGTGGTCAATTGGAGATGTCTCATGGACTTTCATTTCCCCACAGCAATACTGAAAGAAAAATATGGGGGTGGGTGGTGGGGTAGGGAGGAACTTCCACTACATGACTTAGAAATGTCTTTGGGTGTTTTGGAACATTTCATCCATGAATAAGCAGGTTTACTGTAATTTGTTGACATTCAACATTTTAAAAAATTTAATTTTGAAGGAAGAGGAGGAAAATGAAACTTTCGGACTGAGCAAAGAGTATGAAGAACTAATTAAATTAAAAAGGAGTGGTTCTATTCAAGCTAAAAATCTAAAGAGCAAGTTTGAAAAAATTGGACAGCTATCGGAAAAAGAAATACAGAGAAAGATAGAAGAAGAAAGAGCAAGGAGGAGAGCAATTGACCTTGAAATTAAGGAGCGAGAAGCAGAAAACTTCCACGAGGTATATTATTTTTTTACACTTAACCTAACTATGGCATAGTAACAATTCAACTGGAATAACATTGACTGAATTTTCAGTACTTAAAACTAGCCCTTGGTGTATATGATATGGAAACTACACAGAACATGAAGGTTTTAAGAGCTTTTGAGATTTCCCAGTTTCAGAATGACTTTAGTACAAAAGGCATGTCCACTATTCCTATATATAGATGACGCTTATAAAGCCCATATGATCTGCTGAAGGTCACAGCAATAAATCAGTGTAAGAATCACTGGAATTCTGATGTCATGATCTTTGAGCAGCAGACAAATGCAGAAGACAAATGACTTAGGTCCTTCCTACTTTAGTGTTTCAATGACTATTGGTTTAACTTGGATAAACTACTAAACAGCCATCAAGGAAGAGCTGAGAGAGTAAAATAGGAGACCTAACTTCAACTCAATGGGTAAAGGTTGCTTTTGAGCAGGTGATAACTTAGGCACTGAATATTATACCAACATTACTAGGGAAAGCAGATGCTACCACAAATTGTTTTGGATAAATATCTGAAATATAGGCTAGACAAGCTTTGTGTTAACTGACTATAAAATAGCTAAAATTATATTCAGAATTAAAAATGAAAATTTTCACATTTCAAGGAAGATACACCATCTACCATAATTAGTATTTCAGTGCCTTTTAATGTACCAAACAATACTCACTCAACACAACTCCTTTAGTACTTTTCTGACTCGCTTTCAGGGGCTCAGAAAGATGGTAAAGAAAACACTGGGTGTTGAGATTTTTTTTTGTTACCTATTCAAGATTCCCATCTCCTAAAAGCAGGTTTGAGAGCTAAATGGACAGTGGTAAATTTTTACTTAAATGTTTATGCTAAAATCTACAAGTTATTAGATTCAGAGGTTGAATTAGTTTGATACCAAAGCTAGTTCTTATATATCAGAAAAACCTTTGTTGTATATGTCAATTACTTTCAGGTGATAGGTTAGTCTGTTTACTCCATTTTACCTTAATTTTTGCGCTTTTAGGATTTTCCTATTTAATTTGGTAAACCACCCCCAAGTTTTCCAACTTTTACCTTCTACTTCATTAGGTGCAGCACCTCACTGTTATATTCCATAAATCAAGATTATCAACTTCTCATATTTAATTGGAGATGCTACCCTGAAGCAATTTCCTTACAGTGCTTTGAAGTTTTTTTTTCACAGACTAACCCTTATTTAACTGGTTTAGAAATCATAGTACTTTAGAAGTCTTATTAAATTGTTCACCTCATCTGTTGCCACCATAATTGGCCTGTTCTTACACTCACACTGTGGCTTCAATTTAAACTACCAACAACTTCATGTTTAGTCTCCATATAGTTACCTTCAGTTTTTCTGCCAATGACATGATGCTTACACTATGTTATGGTATGAATGTTCATACCAAATATACGTTGCTCCTATAAACCACATGACTATTAAAACTTTATTTAGGTCTTGGTTTTTAGAAAGCAAGCAACTGTTACTTTCTTGGCCCACTTTCCTGAAGGAAGAAGATGTTGATGTAAAGCCTGCAAAAAGAAGTGAGGCTCCATTTACTCATAAAGTGAATATGAAAGCTAGATTTGAACAAATGGCTAAGGCAAGAGAAGAGGAAGAGCAGAGAAGAATAGAACAACAAAAATTATTACGAATGCAGTTTGAACAAAAAGAAATTGATGCAGCACTACAAAAGGTATACCAGGCTTACTAAGGATGCTCTTAAAACCCAAATTTATAAGGGGTATTTTAATAGGTGCTTAATCACTAGTATGTTTCATAAAGTACTCTGTAGTAAGTGTATGTTCTGTACCTTTACCCTAAAAATTCCATTACTACCAAGTACTGTTGTGGAATCATTGCAAATTTACAAATGTCAAACTGAACGCACTTATTTTAATACAGAACAGAGAGGATGAAGAAGAAGAAAGCAGCATCCTGAATGGCTCCACTACTGAAGATGAAGAGCAAACAAGATCGGGAGCTCCATGGTTTAAAAAGTCACTCAAAAACATGTCAGTTGTAGACAGCGAGCCAGTCAGATTTACTGTTAAAGTAACTGGAGAACCCAAGCCAGAAATTACATGGTGGTTTGAAGGAGAAATACTTCAAGATGGAGAAGATTATCAATACATTGAAAGAGGAGAAACTTACTGCCTTTACTTACCAGAAACTTTCCCAGAAGATGGAGGGGAGTATATGTGTAAAGCAGTCAACAGTAAAGGCTCAGCAGCTAGTACCTGTATTCTTACCATTGAAAGTAAGAATTAATCCGGCTTTTAACTTTTTATTGTACTGAAATTTTTTTATCCTTAGAGAGGGAAAAAAAAATCATTCTTCTTCTTCTCTTTTTTAGCTGACGACTACTAGGCTTCCTTCTCCCCTTGGAAATTCTCTCTCCAACTTTCTTACTACATCCATCTTTTCTGTGGCGGGGCCAAAAAGGAAAACAGAAGTGCCACTGTTGACTTCATAATTCCTTTCCCTAAAGTCTTCAAAACACAAAACTCATCCAAAGAATCTCTTTTCTGAATGAGTCATCATAGCTATTACCACGGTATGCAGCAGCAGACAATTAAATATTCCTAATAGAATTGGGAAATGTATTCAGAATTTTTTAGGACATGAAGAAGCTGTATATGTACTTCCCATAAGCTCATAGCTGTACGTCATTATTTTGCATGACACAAAGGTCATTTATGAGCTTTTACATCTAAATTAGTCTGCAGTTAGCTGGCACAGAAGCTGAAACCGATCAGTAAGTAGGATCTTTTTCCCTTAGTACTACATAAATTTGATTGGTGTAGTTTCAAAGTTTTTGAACCAAGGAATATCATTCTTGATTCATGAGAAAGGAGAAGCATGAAGAAAACCAAGAAATTCATGTAGTTTTGCTAAACAAAACCTTATAGAAATCATTGTGTTCTGAATATTTAACTTATAAGCAAATTTGTGTTGTGATCCTGCCTGAATAAATTGTATTTTAGTGAGAAAACTTTGTATCAAGTTTATGAAGGAAAAAATATTCTGTAGAAGTAGAGGTTTCAAGATTTATGAGGATTAGGAAAAAGTGACACAGCTTTCAATTTAGAACTGTAAGTTTCAAATAACTTTGTAAATAATTAGCTTTCATGTTTTATTATCTCAAGTTGTTTTGTATTTTAATTTTCTGGAAGACTATTTTACAATGTAAACCCATAAAAAGCTAATTGTGTATTAAAGAAGAAAAATCTTTTATGTTAAAAGACTTGTGCAATCAAATGATTCTTTTATCAATTAGTTTAAAAAAATACCCCATTTTCTCACAGTAAACTTTTAAGTGACAGTCAACTGTAAAATAAAAGGTTCTTTCCACTGTATACATTTACAAAGACACAAAGCACTCACTCCTTATAATATTCATTAACGTACATTTATTTATTTTATTAAGAAGACCATAATGAATACACAATTACAGCAATCATGTGCCCATTTACAATGTCATAAAAGCAAACTCTAAACCACATTTCGTAAAGTATTCAATTTACCTCAAGTCCAAGCTGCATCTCCCTAAGACACTGTTCCCATCACAGTAGCCATTTTAAGCCAATCTTCTTTTTACACACGGGTAGTTTCTGTAGAGAACACTTTTCTCAGGACGAAAATGCATCAAGCATGCATAAGAAAAAAATATATATATTCGCAAATACATTTAAAGGCTGCTTTAGGGGTATTACTGAAGAAAATAAAACCTTGGGATTCACTTGCCTGTTTCAAGAACCAATTTAAAAGTCCCTCAAAACTTCATATTGTGTAAGAAAAGCCAAGTGACTAATCAAAGATTATAAAGTAAAAATTATCCTTAAGTATTACTGAAATGCATTTTAAAATGAGGCAAAATTGCAGGAAACAAAAATAAGACATCCTCATTGCTTACTAAACTCAACGTCATTATTTTAAACAGCTTAACTTTTATGTCCAACTGGTTCTGTTGGCAGAATATTCAAGCAAATGAAATGTTAAAACCTTTTAATATTCTCTTGCTTTTTGAAGGTACTGTAACTCCTATCCAAACTCATTAACTCATTTTTATGCATTAACTATCAAGATATTAAGAACATTTTAAAATGCTAATAAATGATCAATAAAAAAATAACCAGCTTTCGTATTAAAACAATTTTTATCAATTAAAAAACTATACTCACTTACGGAACACCAAACCACAGAATTCTAAGTACCACCATACTAAGATTTTTTTGTTTTAAAAAGCTCACCTAATTTTTGCTTAAGTGCTAAATTAGTTCAATTTCAATCTAACCATCTCTTCTACCATTCCTAACATCCACTGCATTCAAATCAACAGCTGGCTCACCTTTTCTGCTTTTCATTTCTTTCAAGGTTAAGATTAATGTCATAAAAAATGCTTATAAAATCAGCAAAGGCTTATGGTAATGAAATAAAAATTCTCATGAGATAGAAACAATGCCCCAATATCTATTAGTATTTGTCTATATTTTCTTTTATAAAAAATGCAAACTACAACTAAACCTTGACAGGCTCTTAAGAGCGCTTTTATATTATCAACTACAACATACCTAAGCTATCAAAACACATAAGACATAAATGTGGTGCATAACTTATGAAATTTAACAGTTCATGGAACATTTAAGGATCAACTGAAAAGCAATTTAAAATGAAGTGATCAAAAGCAGGTACAATACACCCTATACCATATCATGTATGGGAATACATTTCATATTTCTCAATTATGATTTGCCAATTTTACCTTCTACATTGAGCCCTTCTATGGTCCATGCTCATCGGCTCACCAATGGCATACACTCAAAGGATTCCTCTTTATGGGTAACTATCTCAGGACCTGATTTTATGAGCTATGATTTGGTGCTTGCAGCATCTTCAGCACTGTGTGTGAAAATGAAGGCAGTATTTTTGAATATTTTTCTTTGTTGTAAAGATAAGCAGGATTTTAAAAAAGGATCAGCACATTTTAGAAACTGAACAAACAAAACTGATATGACGCTGCTTTAATACATTCATCTTAACTCAAAATATGTACCAGTTAAAGTCATCTACAAGAACACACACACATTTTAAACTGGCATAAAGTAAGTGCAGCGTCAGTTATTAAAATATAAATCAGAAAAACACTGGTTGCTACAGATTATGAAAGATTATTTGCTATACAGTTAACATTTCACTGATACACATGCCTTATCAAAACATACTGCCAATATTCCTTTTATTTTTCCTTTTCAGCATGTATAAATTTTATGAAAACAATTGTCTTAAGAAAAAAAATCATAACCAAACTGACCCAAAATACTCTTACTGAATCAACTAATTCAAAAAAAAGAAAAAAAAAAGAAAAAAGAAAAAAGAGAAAGAAAAGGAAAAAGAAACCATAGGTTTGGAGGGCAAAGAAAATGTCCTATCAATCATACAGACTGTGAAGGCTGTTGACGTTTCTAACAATGATTTCCTAGATCTTGAAAACTATGTAAATTTCCTTTCTCAACTGTTAACATTTCTATATTTTGGGAGAAATATAAAAAGATTTGGGTATTGAGCGTTCAGTTACAGTAGCAATCTACTCATTTTCTTGGTTTAATAAAAAAAAATTTTAAGCAAAAAACCATTACCCAGAAATGTAAACAGTTGTTTGAACAACTTAACAGACTTTCCACTAAGATGGTAGCATAAATAACAAAATACATTTTAGGGAAGCAGTAGCAGATTGCTTTTGAGTACACAACCACAAAAACCTCACAGGGACAACATTAATGTACTGAAATATTAATTTATATATGTCCTTAGGTTGTGCTTACCTGTTGCTTTTTGCAGCAGAACCTAAGGTGGAAGGTCTGGGAAGGCACTGTGAAGTATAAATAATTGCACTGTTTGCAATTAATAAAGATTTTAAACCTTAAATGAATCAAAATCAACAGCCTCCAATTTGTGTTATGATACTGAATCCAACTGAATTATTTGTTCAGTTCACTTAATAAATGCACCACTTTCCTAAAAGGTCATCTATATAACAGTATCATGCAAAATTCTGAAATTGTTCATGTCAATACCCTACTCTTAAAGATAATAGATAACTAACTAAATTCCTTAACTATTAAACTTCAAAACTAGGACTACATATCCAGATCTAAGTAAGGGTAAGGGAAGTCACTCTACATTACATAAAACAGTCAAAAAACATTTCAAAACATCTACAATGAACTGTACTGCTATTTTCCACCCTATATGTAATCTCAACATTTATGTCTTGGTACATTCTTTCTTTAAAGTATACTCAAAACAACAAATGGTGCTCCCCACCAGTAACAATATATTTATGAAATGGTGTTAAAAGTGCTACATTGCTTATTATTTGCAAACAGAAAACCACTTCTGTCTTATACATTTCAAGTTTTTCATATTAAGATATGCATATTTTACATTGAAAAACAGCATTTTAGGAGCACCATAATACTATTCAACTTTGTTAATGATCAGTTTTCTTTAGCGATAGCTAAAGCATATAAAAAAATACTTACCCATTAAGCTCACTTAAAAAAAAATACAGAACTATGTATTATTCTGTTAAGAAACAGTTATGGTTTTCCGAGATATCAGCACTGTATTCCAACATAATATTCACACAAAATATGGCATTTGCATTATGTGGAACATTGACAAAAAGATACTGTTGCAGTTCATCAATTTGTCATTCTGATGTACTTACAGTGCAATGCTCCTTGAAGGAACACAATCAAGGATGATACACAGCACAGTCCTCCTCACCCCTACAGAGCTAGTTCTATACTGGCTGGATCAAACCTGCACTTCAACAGACAATGGCAAGACAGACTGTATTTGCATGTAGTCTAACATATTAATTTGCAAAGAGCCAACAAATATGCAGAGTAAAACAATGGATTTCAACAAAATATCAGAACTTCAGCATGAGTGTTAAGGATTAATAAAATGATTTCAAGTACACAAAAAAAATCATTTGATTCAATGACTGGACTTGTGCATTTATAAAACAAAGCTTATCTATACTGCAAAAAGAAAAAGAAAAAAAAAAGCTTGAACGTTTCCATACCCCAATGGTTTCAATGGCAGATGCAATATAGCTATCTTTTTTTTGCATACTATTCACTTTTCTAACCTAAATTTAGAAAGAAACACACTAATAATATATACATCAAAAAGTTGGTTTACGTGGAAAAAGTTGTTCTTAGTAGACTACTCAAATTCACTATCTGAAAACTCTTTAAAATTAGTTATGCTGAAACCGTCTTGGAAATAAGTAATTACCAAATTAAGAACAGAAAGGTTAACTGTTATAGCAGCAGTACAGGTCTGAAACAGTGGTCATGTATAAAAGGAAATTTCACTGTTAATGCAATGGAAGTATGCTAAAAGATCATTGTACACACATGCAGTTTTTAAACAAAAGGAAAAAAAATGAAGATATCAAGATTACTTGTGCTGAAATAGCCAAATACAAGTAAGTGGAAAAAGATTCTCCAATCTACCACTATACTGCAAGGGGGAAAAACATGCCAGTGTTTAAAAGTTCAGCAATTCATGGGGAAAGCTTATATATTTGTGTATATGTAGCTTAATTTACCATTGCTAAGCAATTACAAATCCTTTACCCATATATCCAACTTACCGACACAGGAGGTTTCATATCATTTATTGTAAAGCACAAAACAGGCATTTAAAAGTGAAAGTATACATTGAAAAAGTACATTTATATCACAAAGCATTGACCACATAATAGTTGCAAATACATTTGCTGGAATGTGTACATCTACACTAAATACTAAAAACAAACCAATTTTTCATTTCTACACAGAAATATTAACCTCCTATCAGTAGTGATAGATATTTTGTACATTTTCAAAAAAAAAAAAACACTACTTTAAACCAAAAACAAAATTAAGATCTTCATCAAGTCGTCTGCATCCATATATTTAACAAAGGTTTTTTTCCCCCACACAATGAAGCAAATACTGTATTGTCCACTTCTTATTATTGGCCCTGTGCAGAAGAGATACATAAGAAATACACAAAAAGTTAAAGAAAATCCTTTAAATGGAGCTAATTTAGGAGTGAATCCTTTAAGAAAGAAAAACTGGTTAATATAAATGGTGGTGGCTTCTTGCATGATTTGCAAATCCCTGGAGGGAAGAAAATTTATTTTTAAAATCAAAGGCATGGTAGAAATATTCAGCATTCAGATGCCAGAAAGCATTATTTAAAAACAAAAACAAAAGCCAACAAAAAACCCAAATATACACAATTGCTTCCTTTAGTTATATTTCATCAGATAAAAACTAAAAAGTTAAACATATGCATTTCCAAAGAGACAAACAATAAACATGCAGAAAACATGATTAGCATGAAGTAATTAAATTAGCAAATTTATTATACCTGAGGTGCTGGAGGATGCTGTGGCATTCCCTGGGGACTTGTCTGGGCATAGTAGGCTGCTTGCTGTCTATAATACTCTGCCCAGGCTGCACTATAATCTGGCTGACCACCTGGTGGAGCACCAGTAGGAGCAGGAACTGCTTGACCTTTAAGAAAAAAAAACTGTTGCTGTAACTAGAATTAAAAGCCTAAAAGAATCTCATTTCTAATAAAAACAATACCTTGCTTTTTGTAATATTCCTCCCAAGCCTTTGAATAATCTTGTGTCTGCCCTTGTTGACCTAAAAAAAACCCCCTAAATTTTAATATAACAATATTCACTGGAAGTACAGGTTATAATGATATGCAGAAGGTCAGAACTGGCTACCCTCAAACTCATGATCTTCCTGCCTCTGTATTTTCAGAGCTGGTACCACCACATTCAGTGTTCTTGTTTACTGTACATACTTATTAGTGTTAGAAGCTACTTTGCAACTAGAGAGAAGGGAAAGAAAGGAAAATTAATATGCCTTTTGTTATGCTAATTATAAAAAAAAAAAAATTTCAAGCACAAGCTTAAAGCAGAGGTAAAAATTAGAAGATTCAGGATTCCTTGCTTTAACTCCAGAGTCAAACAAATTACGTTGAATGACTTTCAAAATTGCTTTAAAGTAGTATATATAAACCTTCAACAGGTAAAGTCAGAGGATAAACGTGACAGTAAAAGATAGTATGAAAAGAGAGGAAATGACTTATTTTTGCTTCTTCCATTTGGACTGATGTGTTCTTTTTAAACTTTAAGTCTTCAATAAAAATAAAAAGCAAAAACATCTAATAGCCATGATATAAAAGGCTTGATGAGTTCACATCACAATACAGTTTTGCTAAAATGACAACAGTATCACTGAAACACAAAACACTTTCTCTGGGCACCAGTGGCCCATACCCGTAAATCCTAGCATTTCAGGAGACTGAGATCTCCCAAGGTTGAGCTTCAAAGCCAGTCCTGGCATCAAAGTCCAGGAAACTCTTATCTCCACAATTAGCCACTAAAAGAGCTGTAAGTAGAGCTGTGGCTCAAGTGGTAGACCCTAGCCTAGTACAAAAGTTCAAGGGAAACGCCCAAACCCCAAGTTCAAGCCCTAGAACCAGCATAAAAACAAAACAAAATAAAAACTAAGATTTCATGAACAGATTTTTTATCTAAGTGATTTTTCTGAATTGTGAGTTTAAGAGATAAAACTACCTACTGAATAGGAGCACTTAATGGGCATGGAGCTAAATAACTCAATGATAAATACAGGACATTTTTTGGAAGCCAGACATTCAAATTTTGCCAAATTTTGAAAATGTTGGGTGTTTTGGATTATTTTGGGCTGGGGCTTGAACTCAGGACTTCCTACTTGTTCACAAGTGGCACTCTACCACTTCAGTCACACCTGCAGCCTCAATTTTTGTTGGCTAATTGGGAGATAGTCTCAGAAAGTAGCTTATTGCTGTATTCCCAAAAGTAGCCTAACGCATTTCAAAACTAGTCACAGAATAAACACTAAGACTTATGACTATTAACCTTAAAAATGCATGAAAACCCTTTATTTGGGATAGTTTAATGTACAACCAAAATTCTGCATTCTTGTGAATAACTCTCCTCAAACAGTGGCTTAACTTTTTTTTTTGGGGCGGGGGGTGTGTCCGCTTGTGGGGCCTGAACTCTGGGCCTGGGCGCTGTCCCTCAGCTATTCAGCTTTTTTCTTTTTGCTTACGTGGTGCTGGGAAATCGAACCCAGGACCTCAGGCATGCAAGGCAAGCGCTCTACCACTGAGCCACCTTCCCAGCCCCTGGCTTAACATTTTTGATCTTATAAGGAGACAAAAATTGAGCAAAAGCTGAACATAAATTTCAATAATTAGAAAATTTTCAAGAACCTAGTAAGGACAATAAGAGCAAACAATGTTTCTTATGAACTCTACCTAAAACAAAACTTTTTAAGAGAAAAATAATTCTACTTCAAGTTTACAGAAGAAACTAAAGTATCACTGCAAGACATACTCATTTTTAGAGGCAAACATCAATATAAAATGTTAGACATGTTTTTCCCTTAGAAAAACAAACCTTTAATTCCAAATGGCCCAGTGGAAGCTAAGTCCTAGTGGTTCAAAGACAGCCTGGGCAGGAAAATCATTGAAATTCTCATACCCAATTAACCAGAAAAAATCCTGAAATGGAGGTGTGTGGCTCAAGTGGTAGAAAATGAGCTTTGAGGGAAAATGTTAGGGAGAGTGCCCAGGCCCTAAGGTAAAGCTCATTTAATAGTAATATAAGAAAACCTGGCACATTACCGTTTGAGAAAATCCTCCATTTTTCTATACCTGTGAAGGATTTGGTTAGCTTTCTTATGACAACCAGCTATGGTATAAGTGTTATTTCTAAGTAAAAGTAAAAGCATCAAAAAAGTATTTGACCATAAACGTAAAGTTCCAAATAGTTCTTAAAAAACATAAATTTGGCCTGATGCTGGTGTCTCATGCCTATATCCTAGCTTCTCAGGAAGCTGAGATCTGAGAATCATGGTTCAAAGCCAGCCCAGGCCAGGAATGTCCATGACACTCTATAATCTCCAATAATCACCAGAAAACCAGAGTGGCACTGTGGCTCAAGTGGTAGAGTGCTTGCCTTGAGCTGAAGCGCTCAGGGACAGCATCCAGGCCCAGAATTCAAGCCCCACGACTGGTAAACAAACTAACGAACAAAAAAACAATCTTGGGAGACAGGCTTGGGACCTAAACCCTCGGACAAGTAAAATCTGTTCTAACCATTTTGTAGGAGGCAAGGAATGTGGCTTAGTGTTAAGAGTGCTTGCCTGGCATGTATGAAGCCCTAGGTTTGATTCCTCAATACCACAGTATTACAGAAAAAGCAGGAAGTAGGGCCATGGCTCAAGTAGTAGTGTTGGCCTTGAGCAAAATCTCAGGGACAGTTGTTCTCAGGCGTTGAGTTCAGGGGACTGCTTCCCCCCTTACCCCCAAAAGCCAGTGAAATTGGGTCTCTTTCCTACACATAACAGTTTATAGTTACATATTTGCAAAACATTGATTGACAACTGTATCTTCCACTAGTGCAGGGCTCCTACCAGTGTCTGCATCTAATACTGTGACCAATGTATTATGTTAGTCACTGAATTAAGTTTTTTAAGCCAAGTGCCCGTGGCTAATCGCCTAGCTAATAATCCTAGCTACTTAGAAGGCTGAGATCTGAGGATGATGTCGGAAGATAGCCTGCACAGAAAAGTCTGAGAGACTTTTTCCTTTTTTTTTTTTGCCAGTCCTGGGGCCTAAACTCAGGGTCTGGGCACTGTCCCTGAGCTCCTTTTGCTCAAGGCTAGCACTCTACCACTTGAGCCACAGCACCACTACCAACCTTTTCTGTTTAATGAGGTACTGAGGAATTGAACGCAGGACTTCATGCACTCTACCAGTAAACCACATTCATAGCCCACTACTTTATTTTGAATAGAAAAGGATTCACTGATGTAGTCATTTAGCTATCTTGAAAATTTTTAAGCTATGGACTTCCTGTTGTCACTTACCTCATTTATGTTGTAGCAAATATGCTACCACATAGCCAATTTTTGTTCAACACTAAAATTGACCCTGAAGCCATCAGGTAAATGTTTTTACATGAAGTATTATAATGTCCAATGCTACACACAAACACACATACACAGAGCATATTGTATGGCACAAATGTTTTGTCCAGTTACTTAATATATTTAGTTTCTAAATGGACTGAAATCATCTTTGATTGTAAAATAAACTTTTACTATCAAAACTGCTAGTGTATATTTGCCAAGAGATTCTAAGAGATTAGTTTAATTACATATAAATTATAACATACCCATTTTCTTGTAGTACTCTTCCCAAGCCTTGGTGTAATCAACCTGTCCAGCTGGAGCTGGATTCTGCTGATCTCCTTTTTAACAAAATAAAACATTAAGATTAAAAAAATTATTTTCTGCCAGGCGCCAGTGGCTCACGCCTGTAATCCTAGCTATTCAGGAGACTGAGATCTGAGGATTGTAGTTCAAAGCCAGCCGGGGCAGGAACATCTGTGAGATTCTTATCTCCAATAAACCACTAGAAAATGGGAAGTGGTGCTGTGGCTCAAGTGGTAGAGTACTCACCTTGAGCTGAAGAGCTGAGGGACAGCGCCCAGGCCCAGAGCTCAAGCCCCATGACCGCCAAAAAAACAAAAAACAACAAAATTATTTTCTGATACTAGAGCTGTGACTCAAGGCCTTGCATTTTCAGCTTTTTCTCTCATGGTTGGCACTCTACCCCTTGAGCCAGACCCCCACATTTTGCTTTTTGCTAGTTAAATTGAAGATAGGAGTCAGAATGTCTGCTCAGGCTGGATTTGAATCCTGATTCTCAGATCTTTTATAGGTATGGGAACCGACACTGGGCACTTTAATGTTTAAAAAGCAATTTGGACTTTGCTTTGAGTATAGGAGTGAGCAGTGGCCTACCATGGTGCATTGAGGAAGTTTTATGTGGTGGTCATAACCCTGCTGATACCAAAGACAAAATGGTGGAGGCACAAATTTGCTGGGAAAACAATATTGGGTTCATTGAGCAGTAAGTAAAGGATACTAGGGCTTTCACTATTTATAAATATGAAAAGGCTAAAAAGAACTTTGAAATGTCAAAATGGAATTGCATAAATATAAGGTTTCATGAGACTTTCAGATCTGGATATTTATGTGGTTCAAATAATGTGTGTGGGGTGTTTGGCTTCTAAATTCTATGTTTCTCACTCTCAGCATTGGAGACTGAATATAGGGCCTTACGCATGCTAGGCAGCCTACCAATTAAGCCATGCCTTCAGCTCCTGTCCTTTTTGTTATTGCTTTAACTTTTGTGTATCCTCTTGAAAAAGAAAATCAGGTATCCTTGAAGAAATAGCTGATTCACAGGTGGAAGGCCAGAAGGCACAAAATAAATCTTATCAAGCCAGATAATAGGCATTTATACAGGAATCACCCTGAAAACATTCAACTGCTCCAATATAGGCCAATCTAATGAAAAATAACGAAGTTAAAATATAACCTACTAAATAAAACAGGAATCCATACTGATGTAAGAACAGGATAAAATACCAACTGATTATCACTGTAATAGAAATAGTATAGTTAATAACGCAGAGGGTACTATGAAAGACTGATAGGTAGAAGTTTGATGAAAAGACAGTGGCCTAATCTTAGTATAATTTTTTCCCAATACTACTTACAGGGAAAAATGGTATAGAAACCTGAAAAGAACCAACATGACCAATGATCATGGTCATAGAAATGATTCCAGGAATGAAAGACTTCACATACAACACACTTTAGTGTTCTGTATATATTTGAGATTTTTCTTGCCAAGTAAGCATCACTTCGTTCATGGTCATTATGAAAAAGCTCAATAGGAAAAGTACAATGGTATACAGCTGTAATTCTAGCTACTCAAGTTGAGGCAAGGGATCTTTCAAGCCCAGATAATTGAAAGCAGCCTGGGCAACATAGTTGGGACTCTGTCTCCATAAAAAAAGTAGAAAGGAACTAATATGCCTGTACTCTGTATTTTAAAGCATGAATGTAAATGAGTATGTGACCAGATGGAATCCTGAATCAGAGGAAGGGGTTATTGGGACAACTGGTGAAATTGTAGAGCTGTGTATTTGGACATTTGATATGGTTAAGCTGAACTGATTTGGAGGACTCATGATTATTTAATTGGAGAAGAACATACAAAGTATTCAAAGGTAATGAGCAATCATATCTAGTTTTGGACATATATGAGATAACGTAATAGGACAAATGAGGAATAAAACTAACAGCTAGGCTATCTGGGTATTCAGAGGTTATTGCTATTATAAACTTACTGAAGTTAGAAACTCACACAAAAAATTTCATGCATTAGTTATATAATTCATATTATTTAAAGTAAATAAATCTCTAGTTACCATAGTTACCTTGTCCATTAGTTTGGGTTGTTGTTGGTGCACCCGCAGGAGCTGCAGGTGGTGGCTGTGCTTGTTGTTGGTAATAGTGAGCATAATAAGCAGCCCAAGCTGCTGAATTTGGATCCGTTCCTGTTTTAGCTAGAATTAAGAAACACAAGCTCAAGGTTTATATCCTTATCTGTAGTAAAAATTAACCTGCCCTGCCAAAGCTCAAATACACAGGCCCACTAAAAGGAAACATTGTTTTTCTACTTTCTTGTTATCACCAGCTTGACGACAGAAATCCGAGGTTCAGATAATTTCCTTGGCTATAAAACAAGTGAGTGGCAAAACTGGAATACAAACAGAACATCTAACTTAATATCTAATGCTTTTTCTCAAACCATCCTGTCCTTTTCTAAGCTCACTATGTACAGTAAGTTCTTTGTGGCAGGTAGCTGAAGGAAGAGATTAACAAAGTAGAAATAATTAGAACCAACTTTTTTCCTATGTTGTATTCCCTGAAGATACAAAATCATAACATTTTGTTCAGTGTTAATAAACTGAATTCCCTTGTTTATCCTTTCCATTTAAGCTGGTATCTCTCCAATACTCAGGTTAGGGCTGGAACAAATTGGTGTACTTTTCCGAAAACACCATGCTCATGTCGGGGCTTTTGGTATGTCCAGCCAGTTTCTTCTGTGCTTGGTTCATCTTCATTCACTCCTCATAGAGCAACTGATGTTATTTATTACAATCTGAGACCTCTTAGTGAGAAACCACAAGTCTTTTTATTGATTTTTGTCCTTTATAATAAACAAAGAATGTTATATACTACTATGTACATATCTTTATTAGTCTGTACTCCCCCAAAGAATGTATTTTCCACAGCTATGGGAACAGCTTTGTGCTCATTCTGAACAAGCAGCAATTTTCAGAAGCTTAATGAAGGGTACTGAAGTTTGGGAAAAGGACAAGTATTTTGAGGAAAAGAAAATTTAAGGCAGCAAGAAATTAAGGTTAGTCTCCAACCCTTTCTCAACTGCTCAATATAATACTACTTTCTACATTCATGTCTCAGTGGTGTCATTATCTGTATATTAATAAACATTTAGGATTTCCTTCAGATGGGGATCTCACTGTTGCTGGTCTCAAACTCCTAGGCTCAAATGATCGTCCCTCTTGCGCCTCCCACGAGTAGCTGAGACTACAGACAGATGTATGTCAACATGAATAGAATAAACATTAGCAAGAAATATTAAGAGCAATTACTCATCCATGTGTAAATCATAAGACAGTCTGATAGCTATATTTATCTAGTATATACTGAAAATTTTCTAACAACATTATCAATTTACTTAATTTTGTAGCTAAGAAAACAAAGTGAGGGGAGTTCAAATACTTCCTCAACACTTATTAAATTATAAGATTAAGACTGATCTAAAGCTACTTGATTCAAGAACTAAATTCTTGATCATTATATAAATATGTACAAGTTATTTTCTTTTTGCTATTTTGTATTCCAAGGCGAAAGTCTTGCTATGTTGCTGAGGCTGACCTGGAGCTCAAAACCCTCCTGTCCATCCTCCTGGAGTGCTGGGATTCAGGTGAATACTACTGACAATAAAATATACAATTCTATTCTTAGCAACACCTGACACCAAAAACTCAGAAACACTTTGATAAACCTGAGTCAAATTGCCTAGCTGCCAAAGGCAAAGCCTGAAGAACCCATACTCATTGGCCAGGTCTTACAGTAATGACTGTATTACCACACCAACTGGAAAACATTACAATACATATTTTCTTCAATTGCTACCCATTCAAATAGTGACATTCAGGTTGCCCAATATAAATCTGCTCAACTTATTGACTCTCATTCCTTTGCTTATCTTACAAAAGGAAAATCCTTCCCATTCTTAGTAAGATTGATTTTCAGATTGTTATACATCATATTTCACTTTACCTTATAACCTATTCAGTTATACTACTATTTATATAACAGGAGTGTAAAACTTGCTATTGGACATAAAGTCATGTTTGTAAACCCATGTCCTAGCACATTGAGTAAGTAGAAGTTGTGGTCATTTAGTGATTGTCATGTTATTTCATAACATGAATTACTGAAGAACAAAATTCCAGTTAAATCTGATATATGACTCATTTAAAAACAATACAAAAGTACACTTAGTAGAACAACTTCATTTAAATCAATTACTTTGGTTCTTAAAAGTAAATATACTAAGCCAGTTTGCCTGTTAATCCTAGCCACTCAGGTGGCTGAGATCTGAGGATTACAGTTCAAAGTCAGCCCAAGCCATTAGAGTCTGAGACTTTCTAATTAACCACTAAAAATGCCAGAAGTGGAGCTGTGGCTCAAATGGTAAGAGTGCTAGCCTTGAGCAGAAAAACTTAGCACCTAGACCCTGAAATTCATGTCCTAGGACTGACACAAAAGAACACAGAAATTAACATACTAAATGTACAAAGTAATTCACAATTTAGGGTACCTATTTTCAAACAATTTGTATTAACTAGTTTCAAAGAAGGCCTCTTTGTTGACCAAGATGGAAATAAAAACTATGTCATGAAGAGATGCAAGCACAGAACACATAAAATCTAAATATAAATGCAGAAAATATTTTATTAAATGTATCCAGTACAGTTATTAAATTTGGACCTGCTTTTTACTAAAATTGTCCTATTAGAAGTACTACAATGGACAGTTTATAGTATAGATAAGATCAGAAGCTTTAAGAGCTTAATGCTCAACTACTTAATTTTATAAATGCAATTTTATAAATATACAGTAATCTTTCATGGAAAGTCACACTATACATATCTAAAAGCACTGGTACCTAAAACACTGTTATTCCTGTAACTTTCAGCACTATTGTGTTCATTTAGAAGTAAAAAGCCAGAAAAATGGCTCTACAAAGGCCATAGTCTTTAATACCTTGGTAAAAGTAATGCCTAACACTCTGCTAACAATCTTCACTAACTAAAGAGCGAAGGTAATTTGTATAAAAATAGGATCAACATTAGGAAATTTATGATGTCAACAAGGAATGATGGGTAAATACAGACAACGCACTAATGTAAGTAATACTTTACCTGGATCAGGAGGAGCCTGTTGTTGCCAATGTGGATATGCATTTCCCCATCCCTGGGGAGCATACGGGGCTGGAGGACCACTGTAAAGAAAATATGTATATAAATAACCATTTGCCAAAATCTAGGATCTTTAGGGAAAAGCCTAGAATCAATTCGGTACTTACTGAGGAGCTGGGCCAGGCGGTCCTGGATTATAAGGTGCAGGGTTGTATGGTCCCATTGGAGCTCCAGGCCCTGGTGGCCCAGGAGGCCCATGGGGGCCTGGGACACCATGGGGCCCGTGGGGTACAGGTGGCCCTAAAGGATTTACTGGGCCCTGTCAAACACCAAAAGACATTAAAAACAGTCAGAAAAGGTGTGGCCAAGTTACTTTAAGATCAAGTGACAAGTTTTAGAGTTCCTTATACTATTGTAAAATCCATTAAAAATGTGTTACATTGAGACCTTAAAAATTCATAAAAACCAGTTGCATTCGTAACTAAATGCAAAAAGTTTCTTCTTTTTTGGGCTAATATTGAGGCTCGAACTCAGGCCCTTGCATTGCCTTTTTTTTCCTTTTAAGGCTGGTGCTCTACCACTTGAACCACACCTCCACTTCTGGCCTTTTTGCTGGTTTACAAGAGCTAAGACTTTGCTGGCGGGAGCCGGCTCAGATCTCAGCCTGATGACTAGAGTTAGGATTACAGGTGTGAGCCAAGAGGGACTGGATCTTTAACCTCTTTTTCTATTCTTTTTGTCCTTTTACAATTCTTTTGTAGCACCTGAGTTTGAACTCAGAACCTAGTGATTGCTAAGCTGGTGTTCCACTAAATACAGTCACACACCTAACCCCTTTAGTTTACATTAATTTTGAATAGACTGACTTTTTACCTGGGCCTTCGGCTGGACTGCTTTTTGTTGGGCCAACTTTCAATAGAGATCTGACTTGTTTCGAGAGATAGGATTACAGGCTCATGCCACAAATCCCAGCTTTATATTGTTAGTAAGGAAAATTTATCAGATACTAAGTCCTTATCTGTTAACTGCATTTCTACTCTCCCAGACAGCAATTTGGCCAATGTAATATTCCTCAAAATGTTTAATTTTTATATTGTAAATTGTCTATAGAGCATGTCATCTGCAATATAATAATCATTACATAAAATTACTTCAGAACTTTTCTATTTTTGAACCTTATTTAGATCAATAGGCACTATCCCATTTTTCCTTGTATCAATCAGAACTTTCTAAACAGCATGAAAATTTTTGGGAGATATTTAAACTATATTTAGTTGTTAACCTTTTCACTATGAAATTAAACTTGATGACCATTCAAATCACTTTCAATTACTTGTCTCTTAAAGGCTCCAACTAATAGCTGGCCCCTTCAAAATTAAGACATGCTGGGTGCTGGTGGCTCACGCCTGTAATCCTAGCTACTCAGGAGGTTGAGATCTGAGGATCACAGTCCAAAGCCAGCCCAGGCAGGAAAGTCCGTGAGACTCTTATTTCCAATAAACCACTAGAAAACCAGAAGTGGTGCTATGGCTCAAGTGGTAGAGCGCTTGCCTTGAGCTAAAGAGCACAGGGACAGCGCCCAAGGCCAGAGTTCAAGAACACGATAGACCAAAAAAAGAAAAGGCTCCAATTAATTATTTCTAACATTCATGACTTATCTTTACCAAACAAAAAACAAAAGAAAGTTAAAATACTTTTTAAGGCCATATGTGCTAGGCACTTTTTTTTTTTTTGCCAGTATTCTTCTGGTTAATTGGAGAGGTAATCTTGGGGATATTTTTTTGTCTCAGCTGGTTTATAATCCTAAAATCTCTGTCTACTGAGTAGCTAGGATCAAAGTCCTGAACCAATGGCACCTTGCCTTGGCACTATTTTTTTATAGTGGAGTTTCTGAATTTTCTGCCCAGGCGGACTATGAACTGCAATCCTCACATCTCAGACTTCTGAGTAGCTAGGATTATAGGTGTGGGCTACCAACACTGGGCTACAAATAGTGTTTTACTGGATTCTTTTACAATCGAAAAACTAATGTAGAATGTAAAGGAACATTTAATAACATCTAATAGCATACATTGAATAACATTTAATAACCAAAATCTAGCTTGGTCCTGATGGCTCACAACTAGGTATTAAGGAGGCTAAGATCTGAAGGATTGTGGTTAAAGTGAGATGAGGTCAGAAAAGTGGCAGCCAAAGAAGCCTAATGTCCTAAGTTAAAACCCTAATAGCAGGTAAAAACTATAAAACCCATTAAACCTCCAAACCTGCTAAAACCCCCAGCAAACTGGAAGTGGCTCTGTGGCTCAAAGTGATAAGAGCACAAGCATTGAATGACAGTGCCAAGTTCCCGAATTCAAGACCCATGACAGACAAAACAAACAAAAAAACCCCAAAGTACCTCAGAAATAGAGCTGTAGCTCAAGTGGTAGAGTACTATCCTTGAGCAAAAAAGCTCAGGGACAGCACACAGGCCCCAAGTTCAAACTCCAGGATACACAGACACACACAAAAAGGTTGCCTCATTTTCAAAATTCAAGTCAAAGTTATTTCCAAAAGTCTAAATAAAAGTCTAAATTCCTATTGTAAAGGTAACTGCATTGGATTTGGTTTTTGATACTCCAAAGACTGGTATAAAGACCTTAATAAATTGACAATTCCCTCTATCAACTCTAGCACTTGTGTAAGTAATACTAACATCTCATCTATATACTCAAATTAAGGTGGCTCTAAACACCCACAACTGTGTACTTAATTAGATTACTTTTTTTTTTGGTCGGTCGTGGGGCCTGAACTGTGGGCCTGGGCACTGTCCCTCAGCTCTTCAGCTGAAGGCTAGCACTGTACCACTTGAGCGTCAGCCCCACTTCTGGGTTTTTCTGCTTATGTGGTGCTGAGGAATTGAATCCAAGGCCTCATGCATGCAAGGCAAGCACTCTACCACTTTACCACCTTCCCAGCTTCTAATTAGATTACTTTTATTGCTAGGTATTTCCCTATGTTTCTGGAAAAAGTTAAAGAAAAATGCTTGTGGACAAGAAAAAGTTTTTGGAAGTCTTCATCTTTTTAAGGCATTTATGAGCTAAGTCTTGGAAAACAACTTGAACAAGTATTTGTTTTTCGGCAATTATAATCTTGGTCCATAATCTAATGTTAAAAAAATAGCTAAGGAGTCTAATAACTTGTCTCTATTGCAATGTCGTACGTTAGATATTAAGCTTATTACAAACTAAAACAACCTAACAATGGAATTAAGGTTCTTAATAACTTTGTAAATGATGTAGCTTTACTCCACTATGAAAATAATTTCCTTCATTTCTTCTGGTAGGCAGAATACTGGATCTCTTCACAAAAGATCTCTTCACAGCACCCCCAAATAGGTAAAATTATTTAGAGTACAGTTTAATGTAGGGGAAGAAATGTGGATTCTTGAAAAGGAAAGGCTTTAAAAATAAGGTCACCTCAAACAAATAAAGAGCTCAAAACTTATATGGAATGGCTGTGTCCTAGGCTTTGTTATAGGATCTGGAAAGATTTTTTTCCAGATATGTATAACAGTCCACTCTCAGCAGCAAGGAACTGCAGAAGAACTGTAAGCAACTGTAGAAGATGAAGTGTCCCAGAGCTTACATCTGCTGGAGGCTGAGATCCAAGAGTGGCAGTTGACAGCCAGCCCAGGCAGGAAAAGTTAGCCAATTACCACCAAAAAGTTACAAGTGGAAGGGTGTGGCTCAAGTGAAGTATGCCAGCCTTGAGTTAAAAAAGCTAAAGGATAGCACCCAGGATATTCAAAGCCCTAGGATCAGCGTGCACGTGTGTGCACAAACACACAAATAAATTGGGGGGAAAACAAAGATTAATGTAGAACAAAGTCCAGATGATAAAACAGGATAGGGTAGTTGGACAGTCAGAAAGTATTATTTTCAAGGAAAGTAAAAGGGCCAGACTGAAAAGTTAAACTCAGGAAGTAAAAAGCACAATAAGCTCTTCTTCCCAGCACAGAGCCTTTTTATTGTTACAGGATTAAAATACAGGAAGGGCTATCTACAAACCAATCTTTTCTTTTTAAAATATAGAGGCCAGGGTTGGGAAGGTGGCTCAGTGGTAGAGTGCTTGCCTTGCATACATGAGGCCCTGGGTTTGATTCCTCAGCACCCCATAAGCAAAAAAGAAAAAAGCTGGAAGTAGCGCTGTGGCTAAAGTGGTAGAGCGCTAGCTAGCCTTGAGCTGAAGAGCTGTGGGACAGTGCCCAGGCCCAGAGTTCAGGCCCCATGGATTGGACCCCCCCCCCCCCCAAATATATAGAAGCCATCTAAATCTGCCTTATCCTTAAATGTTAAAAAAAACTGGGAACTCTTATTAATGGGTAAAGGCAGCAGGAAAAACGAAGTTTTACCAGCTACTAGTGTTTTGAGTGGGCCTCATTCATCTTACCCACCTGATGCCACAGTCTAAAAAAAGAGAAGTTGCTAAGTGTATTCACTTAGCTTAAAATATAAAGGCTACTTTTTAGCTGGTTGCTGTAATCCTAGCTACTCAGAAGGCTGAGTTCTGAGGATCACAGTTCGAAGCCATCCTGGGCAGAAAAGTTCCCATTAGACTCAACTCCAATTAACTACTCAAAAACTGGGAGCGACACTGTGGTGCAAGTGGAGCTCAGGGACACCGCCCAGGCCAAGTTCAAGCCCCATGCGATCTCCACATGCACACACCTAATTTTTGGCAAGTCTAAGCCTTTAACTCACATTTCTTACATTGATAAAATGAAATGGTTCTCTCTTCCATATTCCCCTACCATGCTAATATAAAATCTGGCTGATGGGCTGGGAGGGTGGCTCAGTGGTAGAGCGCTTGCCTTGCATGCATGAGGCCCTGGGTTTGATTCCTCAGCACCACATAAGCAAAAAGTAAAAAAGCTGGAAGTGGCGCTGTAGCTCAAGTGGTAGAGCACTAGCCTTGAGCTGAAGAGCTGAGGGACAGCGCCTAGGCCCAGAGTTCAGGCACCACGACCAGACCCTCCTCCCACCAAAATAAATAAAATCTGGCTGAAAGCTAAAAACAAATTTTTACATGGCAATGTAGTACAATTTCAATTAATGCCTTATTTATGGAACAGGGACATTAAGAACCAGGAGTTTTAGGCATACTCACACCAATCTTTTCCTCTATGAGTTGACGAGCATAGTCTATTTGTTGTGGAGTGCCACGAATTGTGAATAATTTCATATTAGGATCTGCATTAGGTGGAGGATTTCTCTGAAGTTCTATTCTTGCACCAGACTGTTGACTTATACTTTTTATGGTTTCACCACCTGAAATCAGAAAACAATAATTTGCCTGAAGTTTTAAATATGAACTATTCCAAAGAAAACAGTTGTTGGGAACCAGCAGCTCACACTGAAGTTCTAGCTACTCAGGAAGCTGAGACCTGAGAATTTTTGTTTGAAGTTAGTGGAGACAGGAAAGTCCATAAGACTCTATCTCCCACTAACAACCAAAGAGCTGGAAGTGGAGCTCTAGTTCAAGTGGTAGAGTGTTAGCCTTGAGCAAAAAAAAAATTCAGGACAAAGCCCAGGCCTTGAGTTCAAGTCCTAACACCTGGCCCCTCCCCTACAGTCACAATTAAATGAATGAGCCATTAAATCAAGTTTTGACATCCTCCCATTTTGTTTATATTCAACATCTCATTCTCCTAAATACATTAAACTTTAAGTCATTTTTGTTCAATAGGGTGAAGGAGGTAGTGAGTAGTTACTGGGGTTTGAATTCAGGACCTTGAACTCAATAGGCTTATTTGCTTAGCTGAACTCTATTGATTGAGCAGTGTTATTGATTTTTCTATCCAGGATGGCTTCTAATTGTGATCCTCCAGACCTCATTCTCCTAAGAAGCTACAATTATAGGTGTGAGCCACTGAAGCCTACACAAATCATGATTGAGTCAAAAGTTCCTTACACTAGTGACTCTTGATTCCTTTCTGTAGAAGCCAGAAACTTCATTTATTTTAGCTGCTACATATCAATATAAAAATACTTTCCAAAGAATTATAATAGCAACGAAAAGTGTTTAGAAACATTAGGTAATATGCTAAATAACTAAGAATTTAAGATACATTGCCTTTTCCTATTATTAATCCAGTTTTCCCAGTTGGCACGATAAAATTAAATTCCTGTAGTCCACCAGGTGGTCCCATGTTCCAGTTGCCTTGACCTCTACCTCTTCCTCGACCACCAGGTCCAGGTCCACCAGGATTACCAGCCTTAGGAGGGAAAAGGAGAAGAAAAAAAAAAAAACCACCGAACAGTATAAACTATTATTTTCACAATAATAATTTAGGTCCCCACCACTAATCCTCATATTCCTGAGTCAGAAATTTAGATACAAATTCCTTGACCAAAATAATCATGTGAAGATTTCCATTTTGTTTTGTGCTTACACGGGTCTTAAATTTGGGGCTTTGTACTATTCTCTAGAGTTTTTGTAAAAGCTAGCACTTTTGTTCAGTACTTGACCAATACCTCCCTCCAGTTCTGGCTTTTGCTGGTTAATTGCAGAGAATAGTCACATAGACTTTTCTGCCTGGGATGGCTTGAACTGTGGTCCTCAGATCTCAGTCTACTAAGTACAGGTACCAATGCCCAACAATAGTTTCATTTATAAAAATTACTGAAGTGAAAGTACTTATATAGAAATTTAAACTTTCTAGGAATAATAAAGCACATATCAAGCATACTTGAAGCTGTACTTTCAGATTTGATTAAAAATACCAATAGGAAAAACAAAACAAAACAAAAAAATCAAACCTGAACACTTCGAAGAAGGTCTGTAATAATTTCTGCAGCATGCTGACAACGGTCTGGAGGTCCTGTTATTTGTGCTATTCTATCAGGTGTTGTTCCATCATCTTTAAAACAAGGACATGAATTTATTTAATTGAACAGAAGTATATGAGTATCAAAACTAATGGCTATGAAAACTTAGAAGATTAACTAACTATATATGCTAACCTGGTTTAAACTGAATTCGAACACCAGCATCATTTTGTATTTTTTTGATCATCTCTCCATTTCTTCCAATTACAATGCCAACAGCAAACCTCGGAATGGGGACCTGATGAAAATTAGAGTAAAAGTATTACGAAAGCTCTTTCCTGAAAATTTAACCTACATTTAAGTCATAAAAGTATAAACAGCTTTATGCATGCCATGTCTCAGTAAGAGACAAAACCTATTAAAGTAGGAAGAAAAAGGGATACAATTTGAGAGGGGCCATCTATTCAAAACAAGAAAACACTGTTTTATTTAGAATAACATAAAAGGATTGCAGCTAGGTATTTTTACTTACATCTATCCCTTCATTCCCTCCAATTCTTGACCCGTACTCATTCCGAACTTCTCTGAAACCACCTTGATCACGAATTAACTCTAACACCATTTCCTTGGCTTGCTAAATTACAAAGAGTTACCCAGTTAAAAAAAAAGTATGAAAACATTCCATTTTTGTTCACATTTTGCCCAAACCCTCCCAATCTCTTTATAAAGGACAAAGTGAAGTTTACTTGAACTTTATATGGGTCGCCTGTAATCCTAAGCGGTTTGTCAGCACCAGTGTTCTGAGGTCCATCCTGAATCATAACCATTTTAACTCCAGCCCGTTCCTTAAAAATCATAAAAATCACGAGTATTACCGAGAAGAAAGATGAAAACTGACTTCAAAATATAGGAAAAATAAATCACGTCACAATATAACAATACCTGAAGTTGTTTAATAGTCTCTCCCCCTTTTCCAATAACTAATCCTGCCTTGCTAGCTGGAATCATGATTTCTTGAACTGCATTTCCAGGTCCATCACCATGATGAAAGCCAGGGGCTGGTCTTCCTTTCTCAACAATCTGGTCCAATAATCGTTTTGCTGACCTAGTAATAAGTTAAAATTTCAAGAATAAAGTATGCCATATTCATTCTTTGAGATGGGTTTTTCTAGGAATACAATTTTTGACATGTCTAAAAGTGTGCAAGGGACATAGAATTACTTCCCCACCAAGGACTATTTATGTTTTAAACTACAATTTTGTTTAATGTGTTGGCTTAACTTTATTAAACAAGTAACAGTAGCATATTTCTAAAAACAATGTATCATTCCCTAAGTTATAGAAAAAAATTCAAGGCAAAATAAAGGTTATAAGACAACATGAATAAAAGTTGGAGATGAGGTAGAAACTTATTTGGTCCTGGGACTTGAACTCACCTGAGTGCTGTCCCTGAGCTTCCTCTGCTCCAGGCTAGTGCTTTGCCACCTGAGCCACTGCTATACTTCCAGGTTTTTGGTAGTTTAGAGTCTCACAGGCTTTCTTGCCCAAGTTGATTTTGAACCACAATCCTCAAATCTCAGCCTCCTGAGTAGCTAGGACTATAGATTATGAGCCACTGGTATCTGGCAAGAATTGTTTTTAATGTTATCCGAGATTGGGCCTAGAACTCAGTGGTAGAATGCACTCTTGTTGATCCTCAACAAAATACCTCCTTCCCCACACATTAAAAACATAGTTTGGTGATACCAGGCAATCACCAAACATGTAAGTTTGTAATTTATGGAAAAAATTCAAGATAAAAAATTTAAGAGGAAACAGGCAGGTACCTGAGGCTCATGCCAATAAACCTAAACCTAGCTACTCAGGAGGCTAATATCTGAGGACTATGGTTTGAAACCAGCTGGGGCAGAAAAGTCTGTAAAAAAAAAAAAAAGTAGAAAAAGCCAGACTGGGAGCTGCGGACTCAAGTAGTACAGTGAAACCCTTGAGCACAAAGAGGTTTAAGGTAGTGCTTAGGCCCTGAGTTTAAGCCCCAGGACCAGCAGAACAAAAATAAAAAGTAAAATAAAAGCAAAACTTATAGTGTATAAATCTGCTTACTAAATGGCAGCTAAGAGCAGCCAAAACGTAGGTGCTCCTTATCCAATTATTAAGAATGGCCTGTCCTGAGGGTCCATGCTGATAGTAAATGAAAGGTGTGGCTTGAAGTCTGTGACCTTAGAAATTTCAATGGAATGATTAGAATAAACACTTGATTGGTTGAGAGTTTAAGACAAAAACAAAAAAAACAGGCAGATAGTTTGGTAAATACAAACCTCTCTTAAGAATTTTTTTTTTGGCAAATAGATTTTAGAATTCAAGATGATTTTTTGTTTTGCTACTAGAAATTACTTAAGAAAACTAGCAATGCGGGGCTGGGAAGTTGGCTCAGTGGTAGAGAGCTTGCCTTGCTTGCTTAAGGCCCTGGGTTCGATTCCTCAGCACCACATAAGCAGAAAAAAAAAAGCCGGAAGTGGCGCTGTGGCTCAAATGGTAGAGTGCTAGGCTTGAGCTGAAGAGCTGAGGGACAGCAGCCAAGCCAAGAGTTCAGGACCCACGACCGCCCCCCCCCCCCCCAAAAAAAGAAAAGAAAACTAACAATGCAGGATAAAGTTAGCTTAATTACAGGATATTATTCTATTCAAATAGTAAAGAGCTGGTCTTGAATAAAAGGAGGCAATGTATCAATAATAAGAACACACAGGACAATGTTCAAAAGTTTTATATTGTTTTTATACTTATAAATTTTAACTTTTAAACTTTTAACATTTTCATACTTACTGGACAGATTCAGGTGTTCCAGTTAACATACAAGACCTTTCTGGTAGGCCACCACTGTCTGCAATTAAAAAGAAAATTTCAGGCCAAGAAAAAATTAACCCACAGTATATCATTAGTAGGAATAAAAGCAAGCAAGTTTTCTAATCACTGAAAACATCAAGAGAAGTATAAGGGTGTATCTTAGCAGAGTATGCCTTTATACACAAGACTGGGTTTGAGCTCTTAACACTACAAAACAAAGGAAGGGAGACCCCCAAGAAGTGTTACCAGGAGCTATCTGTATTTTGCATCCAGATTCTTGCTGTATGCGTGAGATCTGTTCACCTCCTCTGCCAATTACTAGTTAAAAAAGAAGAAGAAAATTATTTACTGAAAGGTTACAAGTATGTTTTGTTTATGTCTTTTAAAATTTAAAATTAGGTCACTTACTAAATCCAACCATTCCATCTGGAACTTTGTATTCTTCTGTCATTACAGATCTGCTAAGAAATTACAGAAACATCTTTTTCTTAAAAAGATATGGTACATATGTGTATGTTTTTATAAATAAATGGAAGTTTAATGTCCTAATAGGGTAAACTAAGGCTCTAGGCACATACTCATGACCAAAGTATGTCCTCAGACCTAGTTAAGCTAAGAATTATAAATAAAGAGCAAGGCACTGGTTGGTAGCTTATACCTAGCTACTCAGGAAGTTGAGATCTGAGGATTGTGGTTTGAAGTCAGCCTGAGTAGCAAAGTACATGAGACTCATATCCAAATAATTAACAAAAAGCAGGAAGTAGAGCTGTGGCTCAAGTGGTAGTGCTAGCCTTGAGCAGAAAAGCTCAAGATAGCACCCAGGGCCCTGAGTTAAAGGCCCCAGGACAAACACCAAAAAAATTTGTAAATAAGATCCAACACATATCAACCGAATAGACAAACGGAACAGTTTGAAGACATGAAGCAAAGCAGTTAAGAGTTCAAAATATGCCACTTTACGTTATTATAATTCACCTTATTTCCTCTAAAACATGGTTAATCTACTTATTTTTCCAAATTTAAGAGTATCTTAAATTTCCTTTTTTTTGGTGCCAGTTCTGGGGCTTGAACTTGGCCAGGGTGCTGTTCCTGAGCTTTTGTGCTCAAAGTTAGCACTCTACCACTTGAGACATAGCTTCACTTCTGGTTTTTTGATGGTTAAGTAGTCTCAAGTACTTTCCTAGTTGGGCTGGCTTTGAACTACAACCCTCAGATCTTAGCCTCCTAAACAGCTAGGATTACAAATGTGAATCACTGGCACCTGGCAAATGTCCTTTTTTTTTTTAGGTGAAACCCCATATATAAAAACATGCAGACATGCCTATAATCACTACACACTTAGTTAATATATACAGTTCAATTAAGGCTTGCAAACCCCCCCCCCACAAAACATAAAAAAGCACTTGACTGTACCTTTGCTGTTGATGCATTGGTGGCATCTGTGTTCCAAAAGCTACCAAAAAATTAAAACAAGAATCCAAAATATTAAACACAACCACATCAAACTGTCTAAATATCTTTCCCTAATCCAGAAAACACAATCAGGGAGAATGAAATTTAATACAGACTATTCAAATCATCACTGACAATAACAAGAAAGTCAGTGAAAGGGCAAATGTATTGCAATGGTATAAAACATTTTCTTTAGGTGGTACAAGCATAGACTAAAAATTAAGAGTACCTAAATGAAACGTATAGTAACTCAGGAATCAAGGTTTACAACGTATATGTAGACATAAATAATTTTTAAAAGAGATGAATGCATTATTTATTATGAAAGGTATAAATTTATAATATCTATCAACTAAACTGTCCACCAAAAATAGAAATACAACAACAGTTTAAAATAATACTTACAGTCATTTTGAGGAGCAACTTTCTTAGCATCTGGTTGATCTGCAAAATTAAGCAACTTTTAATTTTCTTTTGCAGTTAACTATAAGGCTTCCTCCCTCAAGCAAAAATATCATTATAAACATTAAAATATGCAACAGAATGGTTTATTACTTGAACTAAAAAAAATTGCCAAAATTCAACCCAGACTCAATCTAAAGAAGTCATTTTTTCATTCTATCCAAGTTAAGAGATGCACAGACATTTAAGTTTTGATTTTTGTTAAATTATTGACCATGTTTTGTTAAGCACTTTAGAATGATACAAGACAAAGTATTTAGCTACATTACTAGCAAAATATCACTTGCTAAAGGCTAATGATGCTTCTATTGTAGGTACTGAAGATTGGAGTGGGGGAGAAGATGACCAAATTGTGTAAATCTCATACGTTACAAGTTGATTACAATCTGGGCAGTGGTAGCTCACACCTGTAATCCTAGCTACTCAGGAAGCTGAGATCATAGGATTTTGGTTCAAAGCCAGCCTGGGCAGGAAAGTCCGTGAAACTCTGCGTCAAGTGGTAGAGTGTTCACCTCGAGCTGAAGAACTCAGGGACAGTGCCCAGGCCCAGAGTTCAAAGCCCCCCTGACCCCAAAAAAGTTGATTACATGTGACTATGAACACAAAGCTACCCCCCCAAAAAAGAAAAAAAATTATAAGGAAGTCTGAATCGAAACTGTTCTATTACATTTCACTACATTAAACTTTAGAAGAATTCAAAGGCAAACTATATGACCTACCTTCGTATATAAATCCACTACAGATGACTACCACGCGCCACTTTCAATAGACTATACCTGGAAAGTACTATTATTCTCCTCCCCACCGCAAACTTAAATGGCAAATACACAATTGTTATGCAGTAAAAATTCAGACACATAATCCAAAAAGATCATTGTGTCCTTTTAAGAATTCACTGGTTTATTTCATGTTTACATATTAAACACAGGTAATAAATAAAAATTCCTGCCTTTAAAAGGAGAGGGCATTCCCTCCCAGTGTGTTGTACTGCTCGGACTTGTCCAAGAGCCATCTACACATAAAATAAAAAGAATACATTACATACAACATCTGAAGCATCATTAGCTCATTTTATTAAAAACCTCACTATAAATATGAAAGACACTTTAAAAGGAAATCAAGTACACCTACTCAGAAGCTACAAATACATTCTGTAAGCTTGGTCAAAATCCTTACCAAAAAAAAAAAAAAAAAAAACAAAAACACCTAAAATAAAAAAATGCATATTTGTAACTTGAGAAACTTCAACAATGCTTTTTCAAATACAAAGCACTATAAATCCAATGTTTTAGTCCACATCAAGTTACACCTGAAAACAAAACAAAGCTCTAAAAGAAACAAAACAAAGAAATAACATACACTAGCAGACTGGCACTTTATCCTTTCTATATTAACTGAAATCTGAAATGGCAAGATAATGAAAGCATAGCACATATCCATTCAGGTATGTGCAAAACCAGTGAAGTGTTTCCTAAACCACTTAAAAATTTGTTTTCAGTAGTATTGAATAATCAGTCTGTGCAACCTGTCAAACTGTTACAATCCCAAGAGAGGTAAAATTAATGGCTATTTAGATAAAACTTGATTGTTCACTCAAATTAAATTGTACCTACCTTGTCTAGGTCTCCCAGTTTTCTCTTTTCTTTTTGAGGTTAATATAAACCTTACAATTTTAGGAATCTTACAGTAAAAGTAATGCCCAACTGAATACACTAAAAATATTTCAACTAAATATGTCTATAACTTACCTCCATCTTCTAAAGGTCTTTTTTGTCCTCCATAGCCATAGTCATTTGAATTTAATGATGTACCAGCATCACCCCCAATTTTTGCAGCAATCTTGGGGGAAAAAAGTATAGTATCATTAAAAATAAATCAAACGTCTATATACTTGTTGATACAAAATTCTTTTTTTACCTAATATGTACATATGCTAAATAACGCTCACTGAAACTACAACTTAATTTTTATGACCACTAATACTTTAAGTAATTAATTACTATGACTGGGAATTAAACTACTCATCAAAAAACACACAAGGTTGTAGTGCCTCTGATCGTATAAAATAATACTTATCAAAATGAATTCCAGGCAAAGGGGGCGGGAGGAGGGGAGGGAAGGAACCTGCTAAGAATCTTTAGAAGAGCAGTTAGTTTTGAGGAAACTAAATCCTAATCCTATCTTCTCCACTGTCTTCTCCCATGACTCTTCAAAAGATAGATGAGGAGAGTGAAATTTTCCAACATTCTACTCACATGCAGTTAGAATACTTGAAATGAGGTCAGTTCAAATTGGCATTTTTTGGTCAGTCATGGGCTTGTACTCTGGGCCTGGGGGCTGTCCCTCAGCTCTTCAGCTTAAGGCTAACAGTCTACCACTTGAGCCTCAGTGCCACATCCAGTTTTCTGAGTGGTTTATTGGAGATTCAAGCTCAGAGACAGCCCCTAGGTCTTGAGTTAAAGCCAAGACAAAAAGAAAATGTGTACTAAATTACTTCAAAACAAATTATTTTTTAAAATGTTAAGATACAGCTTAAGCTGGGCACCGGTGGGTCTCGCCTGTAATTTTGGGGACTTAGATGCTAAGATCTGAGGATGGCAGTTCAAAGCTGGCCCAGGCAAGTCCATGAGTCTCATCTCTAATAAAACACTCAGAAAACCAAAAATGGCACTGTGGCTCAAGTGGTAGAGTGCTAACCTTGAGCTGAAGAGCTGAGGGACAGTGCCTAGGCCCACAGTTCCCACAGTTCAAGCTCCACAACTGACCCACACACACACAAAAAGGCTTAGTTGCAATTCTGTAAGTAATGTCCTGAAGTTACTAGCAGGAATCTGGGCAACTAGAAAGTAATCCCTTGCACTGGAGAACAAAGCCTCAGGGTTGGGGGTGTGGCTTAAGTGTACAGTGCCAAAGCCCTCGGTTAAAACCCCCTAGGTTCCTCCAAGCAAAAAAAAGCAAACAAACCAATCCCAGCTTTAAGTAGGGTACAATTAGTGGAAAGTTACCCAAATTAAAAAAAAAAAAAAAAATCAAACCTTTGGTTACTGAAATTCCCTTTAGGGGATCCTGATGTGAACTAACCCAATTGCCTCGCGTTTTACTATTAACAAGGAAACTGGGCAGGGTAAGCATATATTCAAGGGCTTTCTCAATTAAACGTCTATTTATATCCTTGAGTGCCTATTTCGACCTTCTTTTCTGAGAGGTGTACTAATACCCCAAAACACTGCTTTTCTACCCTTAGGTCTCAAATATCTACTGGACCACTTAAATGGTAGTCCAAAATGAACTTAAATGCCCTGCCCAGAATTAAGCAGTACTGATGTTTTTGAATGGAAAAGTACTTAAGGCCAGAGTACCAAAAAACCAGAGAGTCTTTTAGGACTTGAATTTGTAGAGTTGAATTCCATAGTTAACTTTCCTTCTTTTTTAAGTCGGTCACTTGGCTTGAACTCTGGGGCTCAGTGCTGGCCCTCAGCTCTTCAGCTCAAGGTTCAACCACTTGAGTCACAGAGCCACTTCCGGTTTTCTGGTGGTTTATTGGGGGGAAGAGTCTCACAGACTTTCCTTCCCAGGCAGGCTTTAAACGGCAATCATTGGATTTCAGCCTCTTGAATAGCTACTAGGATTACAGGAGTGAGCCACCAGTGCCTGGTTTCCATAGTTATTTCCAATGTAAAACTTTATCAAATATCTTGCAAGAATACTTAATTCTATCTGTGTATCTGACTCTTTCACTTACAATTCAATTTGACCAATGATGAGTACCTTTAAGGTGGTTACTGTAGATAAATACTACAAATATAAATGGGTTGTCTATTATCACAATCGAGCCTTTCTAGCAACTTAAGTTTTTTAGTATTTGGACCCAGCTGTACCTTTTCTCACTTCATTTCCCTTTCTCTTCTTCCCCATTCACCGCTTTGCTCCAGTAACTCCACTCATGGGTTCTGGTCATTCCAACAATCCTCAAGTGACTGTACATTATTTTCTCTATTAGCCAATCTCTCTCATTCTGCTTGCACAACTGTCATTACCATAGCAAGTTGACACTCTTACTTCCCTGGTACCTAGTACTGTGCCTGACCCAAAACATCACAAATGTTTACAGTGTAAGAGGATGAATCAATGTTTGTATTTTCTTTACTTTCTAATAAAGTAATCTAGTACTTTTGTTCATTTGTATTTGGTTCCTTCACAATATCATAGAATCCTACAAATAAATTAACTCATACATTTAGTTTCCTGTATCTACAGTGTGGCACAAAATGAATCTACTAAGACTGACTTGTCAAGCACAGGTACATTTCTCTAATGTGTTACCCATTAGAAAAGGGTGATGTTACATCACTGCAGAGTTTAGAAAATGAATTTTGACTCAGTAATGCTTCAATTAACTGAAGGGAAAAGTAATGCTTCAATTAACTTTAGGGAGAAGTTAAGAAGACTTTTAATATAATAAAAATGGTTTCTTAGTACCATTTGCTTAATACTAGTTTAAAATGCCTAGCATAATATGCAGTGTCGTAAGGAAAATGTTTAACTTTAATTTACAAACAGGTCCCTATCATTTCAAAATTAGGAACACAACTAATGACTACGTAAAAAGACAAAAGTTCAAACTTGAGTTTCCTGGAGTCCGTGCACCCCCGCCCCTTACAGTAGTCCGTCCGGGGTGGGGGTGGGGGGTCCCGCTAAGAACCTCCGGGGCACGAAGTCCGCGCCTCCAGAGCGCAGAGAGGGCTGAGCACTTCACGATGGTGAACCCGGAGGCAGATTCAAAGGGAAACCACGAGTATCAAGAGCCCGAGGCCATTTTGAGGAGCGAGGCGGCCGGACCGGCAGGATGACACCCAAAATCCCGCCCAGAGGAAGGGTGAAGTCCCTTCCCCGAGCACGTGAACGCGATCGTTCCCGAAAGCGGCTTCGATTTAGGGAGGAAAAGAAAAATCCAGTCCCGAGGAGCCGGAAGTGGTTCGAAGAGTGCTTTAAAAAGGCTCCGGCGGACCAGACCCCAGTTACTATCCTCCCCCCCCCCCAACTAAGTAATTACCAGAACCTTCCTTCCACACTATTGTGTACAAGTAGGCGCGCTTTCTGCCCGGGATGGGAGGGGGCTAACTTCCCGGCGGAGCGGCGGCGCCGCGGGAGCGGGCGGGACACGTCAGGCCGCGTCTCGGTGGCGGGCGTCGGGTCCCGCGGATCTGCTCCCGGGCCTCCGGTCGTCCCCGCGGCGCGGAGGGGCGTGTGGACAGCCCGGCCCGCAGGGCTATCTCTGTGTCCCGGCTCCTCACGCGCGAAGGGGCGGCGGTGGCCTGCCCCGCCGGCGCCCGATCGCCGGGAGCCCGCGGGAGCCCGCCGCGCGGTCCGCGCTCACCTGCCGGGCTCGCTGCAACGCATCTTTGAAAGCATCGTTCACGCCGCCGCCGCCGCCGCCGCCGCCGCCGCCGCCAGCCGAGCCGGAGGAGGGTGGAGGCACCGTCGAGTAGTCTGCCATGGTCACACGCCCGTAGCCGCCCGCCGCCCCCTTCGCGGAGATCGCCTTTCTGCTAACTGCTAAGAAAGAAAGAAAATGGCGGCCGTCGAGGATCTATCACATTCTTGCGCGACCATCGTGCCGTAAAGGGGCGGGGAATGGAACACGGAAATCCCGCGAGGTTTCTGAGGTAACCGCGCTGGGGTGGAGGTGGAGACGGGAGTGGAATTGAATAAAAGGGAGGGAAGAAGGAAAAAAAAAAAAGGGGGTGGGGTGGGGGGGGGGGGAGGCCGAATATCGCGAGGGTTGGTGTAAGGTCTCGCGAGAGGAGGGTTTCCCCGGGCGCCTCCTCTCCGCGTGTTGTCGGGGGGGGGGGGGGGGGGGTCGGTGAGGTTGGCTAATGGTGTCTTTTGAGTTGGCGGGTGAGGCTGGCGCGGATACGGCGTCCGGGCTTGGGTGGCGGAAAGCTGGCAGAGAACAGGCATCGTGGTTCCTTACCGGTCGCCGCCTCGGGGAGAGAGTGCGGAAGGCTTTTCCGGCAGGGTCCTTTTGTGTACCCGTAGGGCAGGGCTTGACGCCGGCGGGCGTGACGGCCACGCAACAGAGTCTCGAGGGCGCCGCGGCCCGGCCTGAGGGAAGCGCGCCCGGGCGCCGCGTGATGCTCCGGGAAACGTCTGCCTGGCCTAGTGGGAGCCCAGCATGATTTCCAGGGTAGTAAAAGTTGCCCCTGTGTTCTACTTCTAGGCGGTCGGCCGTGTGGATTTGTCGCCAGCCTGGGCCGCTGTCGGGTCTGGAGCGGCGTGTGTAGTTTTTGTTTGAGCGAAGGTGGGCGAGCCGACCGGAGGAAGCGCAGGCCCGCGCTTGCTGTGTGTTAAACGCGGTGGCCTGAGGTCGGCGTCGCCGTCCGCGGGGTTCAAAGCAGCCTTCGTTTGCTTGACCAGCAGTGACTTGGTGGCTGGATACCCGAATGGACGGAAGGATTTTTTTTTCCCCCTCCTGGGTGGCCATTTCTGTTATGTACTGTATTTGCCAAATGATTTCAGACATGTCCTCCCGGGGCCTTTGTAATATAATCTTAATCATAGCAGTTCCAGGGAGGAATTAGGATACCTAGATTTATTATTCGGCTCATAAGTTAAGTATATCGTAGTGACTTCCCCCTCCTTTCCCACAAATGCTTTATATTTGGTTAACAGAGGTAAACATGAGCCTTGCTCACCTTGGAGGATTTTTGCCTCCTGTGAATGAGTCTAAAAAGGCAGTTTACCTATTGCCAGTCGTAGAGTGAACTTCAGTGTTCTTCGTAACCTTTCATGTGCCCGTATGGTCAAGGCCGTATGTAACGCAGCTGTGTAAATGGCATAAGCTTGTACGTACAAAATGGCCCGTGATTTGCCTTGTAATCAACTTACACTATTTCCAGCTCTCGCCATCACTTCCAGTGTTTGTAGCAGTCCCTTTACATTTTCGTAGAAAAGTAATTTGTTGGACGACACGTAATCATAGCGATATTTACAAAAGCATAAAAGTTTGAGTGTATTGCTAAACTGACCTTTAAACGGTATTTGGATAAAATGTGCCTAACAATTTATGATCAGCAGTTGAACTTTTGCCTTTTATAACACTCTTCTGATAACCAGCATGATTTACTACAGAATGATATAATCTGCCCTTAAATAATATGGTATGGTTTTTTCCTGAATATAGATAGAACCTCTATTTCTTTTTCTTTTTTCTTTTTGTATATTTTCCTGGAAATAGGAACATTATAGAATAGAAACCATTGAAATAATTCTAGACTAGGATTTCTCAGCCTCAACAGTATTGTTATTTTGTCATGCAACTGTGCATTCTAGCATGCTTGGCAGCATCTTTGGGATCTATCCACAAGTGCTAGTAGCATCCTTTTTATCCTCTACCGGGTAGTTGTGAAAACCAAAACATGACTTCAAACATACGCACCTAGTAACTTCTCATTGAGATTCACTAGTTATCCTTGATTTCTCTCTCTTCAGTCAGACAAAAATGTATCCGTTGTTTTTTGTTTGTTTGTGTTTTGTTTTGGTGGTTATGGGTTTTGAAAACTGCATTTCCACATCAAGCAGTCAACCAATTGATCCAAGCCTCCAGCCTGCTAGTATGTATCTTGTGCCTGAACTACAGCTTGAATTCAAGGGTCTTAGTGTGTTTGATTTGCTTGTTCAAGACTAGCCATACTTCCAGTCTAGTGTTTTTGTTGGTTAATTGGAAGACTGCTTCAGACTGAGATCCTCAGATCTCAGCCTTCTGAGTAGCTAGAATTAGGGGCATGAGCCACTGTCATCCAGCTAATAATCTTAAATTCCATTACTTTTAAACCACACTGCTCCCATCCTGACCCAATTTACTGTCATTTCACTCTGGGATTGTTACATCTCCTAGTTTCTGTTTTCTACAGTTTACCTTTCAAGAAAATTTGTATCTAAATGTATGTAATATATAAAGTTTCATAAGTAACAAGCCCCCATGTACCCACTGTATAGGAGTATTTTCTAAGGAAAAGAAGCTTGAGTGCCTGTTTTTTTTTATTGTATTACAGTAATCCATTCCCCATACAGAAGCTTAATAATTTTTGAAAACAAATCAGTTCTTCTCTCCTGTATTTCCAATTACACTATAAATCCTACTTTTCAAATGGCCTAACAGCTCCACTTAACCACACCATTGTCTTTCAAGATTTGTCCCCAGCTGTTTTGGTCAACTTTCTATCCAAGGTCTTGCCTCTGATACTTTTTATACTTGCCTATTCCTTGGCCTGTGATGCTTTTATAGGTATTCTTAAGTATGATGTGTCATATTCAAATACTATCTCCTTAGACCTCTTGCTACTTTCCAATGACTATCTGATTACCATTTTTGCTTTATAGCATTCACATGAAATTGTTTTGTGTTCTCCATGTTTCCATTTTTATGTCCCTCTTCCATTAAGAATATAAGCTGGAGGGGCTGGGAAGGTGGCTCAGTGGTAGAGCGCTTGCCTTGCATGCCTGAGGCACTGGGTTCGATTCCTCAGCACCACATAAGAAAAAAAGCCGGAAGTGGTGCTGTGGCTCAAGGGGTAGAGCGCTAGCCTTGAGCTGAAGAGCTGAGGACAGCGCCCAGGCCCAGAGTTCAGGCCCCACGACCGGACACCCCCCCCCCCCAAAAAAAAAAAGAATATAACTGGAGAGCAGGGACTTTGTCTCTACCATATCAGTATACCTAGAACTCTGGGTATTTATTCTAGCCTACATAGTCTTGGAACTATGTTGTGAAAGAATGTTTAAGAAAAACCCAAAACACTAGCTTTAAATTGTGGTTGGTTTTTGCCAGGCGCTGGTAGCTCATTCCTGTAATCCTAGCTACTCAGGAGCCTGAGATCTAAGGATCATGGTTCAAAGCCAACTTGGGCAGGAAAGTCCGTGAGACTCTTACCTCCAATTAACCACTGGAAAACCAGAAGTGGCGCTGTGGCTCAAGTGGCAGAGCACTCACCTGGAGCTGAAGAGCTCAGGGAAAGTGTTCAGGCCCAGAGTTCAAGCCCCATGACCGACCCACCAAAAAAAAAAAAGTGTGTGTGTGTGTGTGTGTGTGTGTGTGTGTGTGTTAGTTGGATTTAACTTTGGGCTTGGGCCTTGTCTTAGATTTCTCATCCATGTAGAGATCATTACCTACCTTAGGATCCAATGATTTGAGCTCTTCAGAAATTATAAAGTGTTGTTCAAGTGGGCATTTCTATGTACAAGAAAGGATAATCTGTGTAATACATTCTCAACAGCTATATTCAAATAGTTTTAGTACAATTCAGAATCCTTTAGCATCAATTAAGGAAAACTAATGATGACTTTCTTAAGCTAAATATGTTTTCTGAATTCACACATTTGTACTCTGCTGATTCTTCTAAATTTATTAAATCTGATGATTATCAGATTTTTTTTCTTGACTAAGTATTATTTTCAATGTAAATCTCTTAAAAGGCGTATCATAGCTGATAATCTAGAATTGATGCTTATGCTCTGACAGATTAGCTAACTAGCCAGCTGATTTTTTTTTTTTTTTTTTTGGTCGATTGTGGGGCCTGAACTCTGGGCCTAGGTGCTGCCCTTTAGCTCTATCAGCTCAAGGCTAGCGCTCTACCACTTGAGCCATAGCACCACTTCTGGCTTTTTTCTGCTTATGTGATGCTGAGGAATTGAACGCATGGCCTCATGCATGCAAGGCAAGCACTCTACCACTGAGCCACCTTCCCGGCCCCTAGTTACACCTATTAAAGAACTTTTAGGAGTTGAAGACATTGGTAATACACTTGCCTAGTATACACAAGGTCCTGAGTTCAATCCCTAGCACTGTATATAATTTTGAGTAAGAAAATAAAAAATAACAGGGTAAATTTTTATAGCTATCTTCCTGTTACAATTACTTCATTTTTTTAATATAAAAAAGTTTTTCCTACTTGAATATTATCAGTTCTTTTATCACATTTATCTTATAACACCTTAAGTCATTTTTTTAGGATAAGAAATAGAACTCGGTGGAAGAGCATTTTGTCTAACATGGTACAAGGACCTGTGTTGCTTCTCTGGTACCACACGTGTAATTGTGTGTATGTGTGTGTACACGTGTGTAAAACCTAACCTATTCCAGTGATCTTAGTGGTTGTCTGCATTGTCTACCTTAGCAATAGAGAGCTTTTTTTTTAAAAAAAAAAAAAAAGCTTTGAAGGTAGGACCTAGGCTCCAGGGCTCATGTTGTAATCCTCGCTACTTAGCCTGAGATCCTGAGGGATAGCAATTCAAGGCTAACCTGGGCAAAGTTCATGCTACTCCATCCCCCAAAAAAGCAGCAAGGAAATAGGGCTGGAGCTGTAGCTCTAGTGGTAGATTGCCAGCTTATCAAGCAAGCCAACTAGTGTGATGCCCTGAGTTTAAACCCTAATAACACGCCCCCCCCCCCAAAGAATTAAAAATGCAGGAAGGTGCTAGAAGTGTATTTCTGTGTATTTCTGTAGTAGAGTGCTTAGCCTGTCTGTACAAGACCCTGAGTTTAATCCCTAGCACTGGAAGGAAAAAAAAAAGAAGGGTTAGTCACAAGCTCTATTCTCTCTATTGGTTTGTATTAGAATCTTTTTTTTTTTTTTGGTTATGGGGGCTG